GTAATACTCAGAGATTCCAGGACCCCCAATGCCACTCCCTGATCACTATCAGGAGAGTGCCACAGGAGGTCCAAAAACAAATGCTCGCTAGGTGGAGTACCTGTTTAGTAGACGATATGGATTTTTATAGCATGTGGGCAGTAATGAGAGAACTAGTTGGGTTTAGCCACTAAGATTATTTGTTAGTACTGTGATAGTTAAAGACACATAGCACATAATACATACTCATACATCTAATAACGTTGCCACCACCATTATCTCTTACATTACGACTCTTCTTCGTGGTTGTTATAAATCCTAGTAGATGCGGAGGTGCAGCAGGTAACGATTTTTACTTGGGGTAAGGTAATAGTTCTTACACCATTGCCTATGTGACATAGATAGTCAAGTCCTTTGACTTCTATCTCATTGCGCCTATTCCCTTAATCTTTTTAAGTTCTCGATTAGGACTTACTCTTCCTTATCCTGGGAGGAAAGACAATTCTTGGGTTTCTTAAGATAAATCTTAAAGAGCATAAAGGTAGGTTTTATTTGTAAAAATTAATATAAAGGTAGGAAATAAACAAGAAGAATATGTGAAGAGCTCCTACTTGGGATCCTAGTGACCCTTTATATAGTTGCTCTTCACTTGGCATGACTCATATCATACCTCATGTTACACGAACCTTGTAGCTTATAACTATGAGTCATGCGAAATCCATCAGCTGACTCCTATGAATTCGGTGTGTAACATACCTAAAACCAATCAAAACATAATAACCAAGTTAGGTGCACAACTTGTGTTACCTGAGTGAAACCCATGATTCATAAATTGAGTCATGTGAGAAAATCATAACATCATGTGACTCACAACTGTGAGTCATGAACAGGTAATCATAATAACCTATGGTGCACTAGTGTTTGTCATGTGAAATCCTAACATACCTATAGCTGGGAATTCCAAGTTATGTAAAATCTGCCTTGCCTAGTCACAGTTTGTAACATTAGGTCCCTTCCTCCTTAGCCCAAGTCCCATCGGGCTTATATCAGTCTTTCCTCTAATCTCCATGCCCTGTCTACTGGGAGTCCCTACTTGGTTTCCTTATTTAACCAAGCACTGACTTTCCTCACTCTCGTCAGGGTCCTTTCCGCCTCCTTCTCTTCTCTCCTCCAGTGCTTCTGAAGTACCTTCCTTATCCTGTTCTCCTCCCTTAGCTGGCTCTGGAACTCTCCTATTTTTTCCGCTTGCCATTCCATTACTTTTTTCATTTTTGCTACCTCTGCCAACAATTTTATTATCGTCGTTTCTGGTTTCTCCGTCCCCATCTCTTCTTCCCAAGAGACGTGCCTTGTCTTCCTAGATTTCCTCCATTTTTGTTTTTTACCCCCCTCCTCCTCTACTCCATCCTTGGAGTTGGTTGAATGTATTACACCAGAGCCACTGGTTCTGGGGTCGGGGATCTTGCAGGTAATCCTAGGAGTGATGTTTTAGGTGGCCATCAGTTTGATTCCTGAGGCCAATATCCTGAACCCTCTTTCTCCATTTGGTGTACTTGGCACTCATCATTATAGTAACCTGTCCATGACAGGTTCGTGTATTCCCTTTCGGGGGTTGTTATTTTCCTCAGGTTGAGGTCCACCAGGTTGGTCCAGTCTTTGTTGCTCCATTCTTTCTTGATCGGAGTTGGGGTATGGTACCTGGGACTGGTTGGAGTAATGTGTTGGTAAGTATCGTGTTCCAGAACATTTTGTAGGGCTGAGGGTATCGGTGGTAGCTAGTACTATATCAGGTTCTGATCCTATTGGTCGGAGTCGGTTCTGCATAATAGTGGGGCTGAGTACTCAGATTCTGATAGGTCTTTGAAGCTCAGCCGCCAGCTTGCTTGGGTATCGTGTGTGGAATTGTTGGATTGCATTTTGTATATTATCAAAGTTATCAGCTGGGTGCCAGGTCTTATCATGTTCTGGTGAATATCCCGTCTACCTCACTCTCTATTGTAAGCAACCATAGTGGAATCGGGAGTTAATTATTTCTTCGAGTTCGTATTCTGGTTCACCAGCTATTTCTATAGGCAGTAGTAGAGGTTTTTCTTAAGAAGGTAAAGGATTGTCTTGATAGGGTTCAAGTAGGCTGATTGAGGCACCTCTTTACATCTGGAGATCTCTTTATCAGGCCTCTCTCCTCACTACCCTGCTTTTGCTAGACCTTACTTAGCATCAACACAGTTGACTATGGTGGATAAATGATGGTCCTTTGGTCAGTTGATCTGGTAGTCCTCTGAGCTATCAGGAGTTCACCTCAGGCCTCTTCACATTGCATGTTAGTAGGATCCCACCCACTACTAGTATGTGATACTTTCTCTCAAGGAACAAGGAACTATATGAGAGAAGTAGTCATAAACCTACTCTGTGTTTAGGGTTTGTGCCTACTCTTATGATCCTGGTTATAGTCTTTCACTAAATCATTTAGCCTGACTCACTCTGCCTGGCCTTCTTCCTTTACTCTCTTCCTGGGTTAGCTGGTACCCTACTACCCAAGTCCTCACAGCCCTCCTTATCGTCATGGCAGCAGCTCTTCTATCTGTTCCTTCCAGCTGGCTTCTACCAGAGTTCTATTCTTTTCTGCTGACATTAGCCAGCATTTTTACATTCTGGCTAGCATCCTCTCTGCTACTCATCTTTTATTTCTGTAGGTATTAGGTCACTGCTGGCTGGCCACAAGGCCTAACCTGCTCCTGTCCCCTGAGTTTTAGTACTTTCTTCTTCTGCCAAATATTACTTGCATACCTAACAGCCCCCTGGTCCTCCTCTGTTAGACTGCTTAGTCCTCTCTTGCTCTATACTAGGGTAGGAGTTAGCTGTTAGATAGCCATGTGAGGAGTATACCATAGCAGTTTTACTATGGGGAGGGAGAGTGTAGCAAAAGATTTTACCTTTCTGGAGCTTGGGGTTCAAATTTGGGAGTCTAATTGGATCATACTGTCTGACTCGAGTTTCCTTTATTACTGCACATCTGTGGAAGTTATTGGTTCATTGTATTTAGCCTCATGACTTAGGGACAATTTTTTATACTTCAGAGGTCTTTCCTTCCTTCCTGCAGGCAGGTAGACTATGGTGGAGATTTTTGCAGCCATAGTATATGCTGTACGCCTTCTCTGTACATATTTAATCAGACAAAATAATAAAATTAAAAAAAATTAAAAAAATTATAAGTTCTTATACCTTAACCATTTGTATATAAGATAAATAAAAAAAACAAATCTCTAGCTTTCAGATATTATCAGTAAACAGAGAAGAGATCTTATCAATATATTTATTTTACTTTGAAACTTCTATCTTAATAAGTCTTCCTGACTTACTCTAAGAAGATCTATTAGGCCTAGATCAACTTTCTTGTTTTCAGAATTGACTACCTCCTAACAGAAATTCCTGTTTCTTGCCTACAAAGTTAGTGATACTACTTTCAATCTAAAATAATAATAAAAACAGAAGCAATCAAATCTCTAAGAGCAGATAATAAAATGTTAGGTCCTATTTGGCACATAAGAAAGATAGCATTTTTCTTACTTTTATGCCATTTTTGACTATTTTTTAAAAAAAATAAAGGCATATTTGGCACACCTATTAAAATAGCATTTCAAATATATAGTAGTATTTTTTATAGTATTTTTTATAGTATTTTTTTTGTAAAGTAAGAATATTAAAGTAAAAAAAAAGTTAATAAAATAACTAATACAAGTATTATGAGTCATAATAATTCAAGTAAATGTTTCTATATTGTTTGACAAATTATTCTGACCTATTCAAAAGCAATATATGAACAGACATCCTAGTACAATTACAATAAATCCCTTCAATATTTTGCTACCTTCTGACCACCAAAATTCTTTGTATTTATAACTTGATGGAAGAGAATTATGACTAGCCACCAATTTATATACAGTAGAAACACTTTATAAAAGTTTTTTTATTGATCAAAACAAATGTCAGGATTGAGGTTTATCTAATTCAAATCCATTATTTAGGATATGTTTTACTTATATATAACAGCCCTGAAAAATTGAGAAAGAATTATAAAACACCATCAGTTCTGAAAAATAGCATTTATTTAAACTGGCTTTAAAGCCATTTTCAGGAAAAATAGCATTTTTTTTATGATTGTATGCCAAACAGGACCTTATTTAATTAAATATATATAAAGAAATAAAAATTATGAGTCTGAAAAAGAGAAGACAAAGTTTTAAAAAATTACACGCAGGTACATATAAAATATACCTTAAGTCACAAAAGTAACATTGAGCTACAAAAGTGATGTTGAGCCACAAAAATTGTATTGAGCCACGAAAGTAATGTTGAGCTGCAAAGTTATGTTGAGTTATGAGGCACTGGCACTCCGGATGAGTGCCCCAGAAAACTGAGCCAGAGAATCTTCGGGGGTTGCAGCGCCCTAGCTATAACCTTGACGCCAGTAGACCCGTACCACGCCACCAGACCGATAAGTGAGAGCGCATACCCTGCGTGGGATGTGCTGTGAATGTGGGAGCCCGAGACGGCGCAGGGCTATAACTGCATCGTGGTAACGGATGGAGAGGGGATGGGTCTGTGCCTGTACGAGTATTGTAGATAATCCTCCATGGAGGAGAAGGTTCTGGCCATCCCAGGCGGTTCGGCGCCATCCATCTCTAGATATAGGGGATGCATGTAATATCATACAAATGATTGATAACTGAAAATATACGCCACGGGACACAAACAAATCCCCCGGAACAACCCTCCTTCTCAAAGGCCCACATCATTCCAAACCACCTCTTCGCATCGCCGTCAAAGCTAATCAAAAGCCAGGAAATTACCACCCTCCCCCACAAACGCCCCCCTATTGGAAACCCTAATGTACAACCCCCCTTCCCCTCTCCCCCGCACTCAACCTCAGCACTCCGTCCCCCTCACCCGCAAGAACCAATTGCGCCGTCCCAACCATCCCATAATGAAGAAAGAAAGAAAAGAAGAAAAGAAACGGGGGGGGGGGCACCAGCAAGAGAACGGTGGAGATTAAATGTTGTTTTCGTCGAATTGCGCCTCCAAGAAACAAAACGAATGAAAATATAATTAAGGAAAGCCGTACTTTAGCAATGAGGGAAAGCAAGGAAAGTAAGCAGCGCTCCGAGCTCCGAGACCGATCCGGTATGTAATATTGACAATTGAGAAAGGGATTGGCGAATCGGCGAATCGGGAAATGTAAATAGGTAGATAAAAAATGAACGATTTAACTGGAATCAGGTCTTTGGAAACACGAGGGCGTTGACAAGGTGACCATCGACCCAGTGGTTCCCATGAAGGGTTTCAGTGTCTCGAAGTCTTTACATCGAAAAAAGATTAGTCTCCCTATTCCACCCACTTAAAAAAACGATGCAAGGAACGGAGTGTCAATGCTTACATCTTCCCAAGATACGCGATCCGTATCTTGAATTGATCTGGTGGGATCTAGCAAAAATGAAAAACCTCACCAATCAGCATGACCCCAATCGGTCTCATCCAGTCTAGTCCAACTTACCCCGGCATTTTCCAAGATCCTCCTTGCAATCACCCGGATATGATCGCTCTTGGCGAACCGCACCAGGATATCAGGGCCGCCTCTGTCAGAAAGTCTGGCAGTGACGGAATAGATATTTTCCCGAAGATGGATCGGCATTTTTCCCTTTTCTTCTCTCCTAATCTCTGCCTCTTCGTCGTCGGTTTCGGCCCCCTTCTCTTCGGCATCGTCCCCGCCATCAGGAGTCTGTAGTAGATTCATGGGGGTGGAGACGCAGTACTCTGGAAGGTCATAGCGGTTCCCGAGCTCGTCAAAGACTCCATTTCTCAGGTCGCCTAGAGACAACGGTAAGCAATCATGTCCATTTCAGGCATATGCTAGAAACAGCTCCAGTTGTCGTAACTCTTCCCTCCACGCCGGAGAAGGTGTGAGGATGGAAAGAATACGAAGGTTTGCCTGCAGTAAAAAGGGAGAGGGGGGAATTGTTACCGGTAGGGATAGAGACCCCAGCAGCGTTAAGTATCTGCTGGGCCGTTTCCAGGTCCTCATCGAGAACGTCCACAGCCATCCTAATCGCGCTCCAGATCTCCATTCGCCCCGTGACACGCGTATCAAAGTACTCCGCCCTCCTCAGCCGCAGCTGCCCCGCAGTTAAGGGTATCTTGGAGACCCATACATGGCGGTGAAGAGGGAGGTTAAACCTATCCTGTAGAGGCAGTGCATGCTCGATATGAGATGGCTGTTGCTGTTGCCCCTGCACCACGGAGGTTTGATCACCGGGAATGGGAGATATCCTAATAGCTTCCTCCGGATCGCTCGGTGATCTTGAAAGACAGCAACCCATTGTGCATCCTTATGCCTCTAGCCCGTTCCAGACGTAATAGAAAGCTTTCGAGAAAAAGGATGGATCGGGTAGAGGCGTTACAAGTAGCGTTAGGCAGTCTCTACAGCAAGGGTGAAGGTGGATGAAGGAAAGATCAAAAGTGAAGTAGTCCTGTGCCTCCCAGGGGAAGTGTAGAAAATTCCCGAGGTGGGAAACAGGGGCACAGGAGCGAGAGGTGAGGTGAGGTGAGGTGGGGTGTGGTGAGGTGAGAGGTCTGAGTGGTTGGAAGGGCTGGTCAGTCAGAGAATGTGTGGGAACGGGCCCCGCATTACGGTAGCCACTATGGAGGGTGTCGCAGAGAGGGAGGGCAGGAGGGAGGAGAGGGTGATTACGGTACGGCCCTCTCCCTCTCCCGACCATCATAGTCTAAGTTTGATGAGCCTCAACCGAGGCAAAGAGACGGTGGAGGGGTTCTTGGCGCTTCATGAAGAAGTATGATGGTTGACGCGATAAGCTCACAGCTGTGGTGGGGGCAAACACTGCTGCTGCTGAATGCAAGCATCTGCTGACAAGTTTTCTACTGACTCGTGCCCAATTGGTAAGAATTATATTAAATTTAGATCCTTGGTTCTAACGGCCAACGACACGCCCGGGAAGCTGCAAGGGATCATGGCAGCAACGGAGCAGGAAGAATGGTAACCACTGGGAAGCCATCCTTGTCCATCGCATCCCATCTTTGTACTGTACCGTAACTGCAACACGAGGCCCTACCATACAAGTACAGTGCGGTATTCGGATCGAATAGGCCATGACGCTCTATCGCGAAAAAAGTGCCCAGCACCGGTACTCGAGTAGGGTAGAATGATCCCCTTTTTCTCACCGAATTACCACGAGTGACACCATCAAGGTGCCTCTCAGAGGGTAATAAAAAAAAAAGGAAAAAAAAGAAACCCAATCAGAGGCCAGCCCACCCCCGCCCCGCATGCCACAGAAGATCAACCACAAAAGGAGTCACGCTATCACCCGGAAAGAGCATTCAGGCTCAGGAATATCGGTTAGTGAAACAGTGCGGGGTAGCCGGAAACAACCCGGAGAATCCACGAGATCAAATACGGCATTTGGAACATTGGAAAAGAAAAGAGAAAAAAATTGGAGTTGAAAAGCAATGTTTTCGGATTATTAAATACTATATAGGATTTGGCCACTGAAGGCCGTCATGATCACAACAAACTGAAGAGAAGAGAGAAAAATAAATAAAAGAGGATATTGGAATCAATGGAGCGAAGCAATAAAAAAGAAAAAGGCAAAGGCACCAGAGCTAAAACTTGGATACACAAAAGAAACCATTAGAGGGTAGCGCCCAGGAGCAACACACTTCCCATCTTCCCCAACACGGATACAAGGAGAATTGTAATTAGCCAATCATGACAACGGAAGAAAAAAATTGAGCCCCAACATCGGCCGTGACGCTAATCAAAATTTGCAGAGACGGGAAAACCAGCACAGATGATTAAGTTCATACTTGAGCCAGGTTGAACAAAGAAAAGAGATGCCGATTAGGTGGAAGATACAGGACCTAAAGCGCGCTAAACCCAGAAAAAAAAAAACACAGAAACAGACTTTCATACGACATGTCATGCAAGCTTTTTGTGAAATACTTAAGCAGCCGCCTGCACAGGGTGAGCCTGTCCAACGTTGACAGCTTCTGGAACAACGTCGCCAATGGTAGTAGGCTCAGTAGTGGCGGGAGCACCGTTTGGTGTCTCTGTTTCGGTGGTGGTTGTAGGGGCAGCAGGAGCAGTCTCCTCAGCAACAGTAGCCGGCGCGGTAACCTCCTTGGGTTCGGCCTCCTTTCCCTTTCCGGCCTTGCTAGCTTTGCGCATGAGGCCAGTCAACAATCCTGGCTTAGGAACTGGAGATGTGCTAGGCTTGGGAGAAGAAGGCTCGCCCTCCTCTGTGTCGGACTTGACATCATCGGCCTTCTTCTCCTTCTTGAAAGAGAAAAAGCTTGACTTGCGCTTCTGCTCCCTCGGGCCGGCCGTAGGGCTAGTAGCCTCAACAGTAGTTGATCCCTCGGCAGGGGCAACAGCCGAATCAGTGGTAATGGCAGTCACGGCGACGGGCTCGGTAGCAGCCTCAGCAGACTTGGTCTCAGACTCCTTGCAATTTGGTCAGATTCATTCAGTATAAGTCACGGAAAGAACTACCTTCTCGGTCTTATCACCACCCTTCCTCTCGAAAAGGCCAGTGTAGAACCTGGATTTCGGCGGAGAAGAGGCAGGAGGCTTCTCAGCAGTAGTTGAAGCTTCAGGAGCGACAACATCGACGGGCTTCACCTCAGCGGGTGCAGCCCCAGTGTCCGTCTTAGGCTCAGTAGCCTCCGGTTTGGCCTCCTCCTCCTTCTTGTCTTCGGCAACCTCTCTATCCCTTCCCCCACGGTTGAAAACATTGACGTTGAAGTAAGAGTGGCGCTTAGCAGTCCTAGGCGCGGCAGGGGCCTCCGGAGCTTTCTCGACCTCCTTGGTCGCCTCAGGAGGCTTGACATCTTCGGTGTCCTTCACCTCAGCAGCGACGACTGAGGCTTCAGCAGGCGCTGCAACTTTATTAGTCTCACCGTCTTCGAAATTGAACGTCATGAACAAACCATCAGTGGTGGCTGTTGTTGGCTCCACAGCCTTTGGCTCCTCCTTAGACTCTTCCCTCTCGGCGGGCTCTTCCTTCTTCTCTTCGGTTTTATCCTTCTTGAGGAAACCGAAAACCGAGGTTCGCTTCTTGTTCCTTGACGCAGAGCGCTTGACATCGGCCTTCTTGTCAGATGGACCAGCCTCATCCTCGGAAGTGACGGCAGGAGCAGCATCGGTGGACTTAGCCTTTTCAGCGCCCTCCTCAGTCTTGGTCTCCCCGGTTTCCTTCTTTTCTTCCTTAGGCTCAATAGGCTTCTCCGGCGCCTTAGCAGCCGCAACGGGAGTCGACTTCTCTACTGGGTAGTTAGTACAGGATGCATGATGTATCGTGCTTTCAATACTGACTCAGTCTCTCAAGAGTGGTCTTGTAGCCCTCGGAGCTAACAATCTCCTCCTCAATCGCCTTGGCCTCAGTGATCTTGTGCTTAAGGGTGAAAACCCAGCTATCACGCTCACCCGGTGACTCAAAGTGAAGATCCCCACCGTTCGGGATCTTGAGAACGAACTTGGCAGCACCAGCAGAAGTGACCTCAGTAACATCCGCCTGCATAATTGTTAGCACATCATGTAATGCGCTGTTAGGTAACACGAAACTTACCAGCTTAATTATACCATGAGGGCTTTGTCCCTCAGCCTTGCAGTAAAGGAGCAATCCCTTCCCTGTCTGGCTGGCATAGGCAGCAGTTGTGCGAGTAGAATTGGTCTTCCGAAGATAAACTTCCAGCTCACCCCCAGCAATAGGCTCGTCCTGGAAGTAAAAGAATCTCTTGGTCTTGAAAAAGCTATTCAAAACAATCAGCACGTGATTCGGGTATAACAAAGAGGAAAAGAAAAGAATAAAATGTGCAACTTACGACATGAGACCAGAGGGAAACCTGGATAACGTTCCCTGTGTAATCTCCTTTGGCTCGGGCTTATCCTCCTCCTCCTTCTTTTCCTCAACGGCAGCGGTCTCCTCGGCTGGCTTGTCAGTAGCTACGGGAGTAACCTCGTCGGAAGTAGTGGCGGGTGCAGCGACGGTCTCCGAAACAGCAGCAACCTCCTCAGAGTCAGTTGGCTTGGGTGGTTCGGTAGCCACGGGCTTAGTATCCTCTGGCTTGACAGCGTCAGACATTACTAATGCAGAAGTGTATGAATCTTTCTCAAGAAATTGAAGGAAAAAAAGAGCCTATTGTTATTCCAACAAAGGGCAGGCTTGTGAGTGGTGTGAACGAGAGCACACGAGCAAGTGAAAGGGCAAAAGGGGGGGGGTTGGTCCGAAGAAAGGGGAGGATGTGGTGTTGTTGAGCGTAGGGACGAGGGAGGAAGGGAGGAAGGAAGGAAGGAGAGGAGAGGAGAGGAGGAAAGAAGAAGGAAGCGCGGTAGAAAAAGAAGAGAGATGGGAGGTGTGGGCAAGCAACAGGCAGAGCAGGTGGGGGGGGGGGGGAGTGTTTCAGGACAAGCAGCGCGCGTCCAGGAAGAGAGGACAGCCAACCACCGGGCAGCAATGCTGCTCAAGGGCAACATAGAAATTGTACCCAAGGAAGCAGCCAGTCCTCTCGAAGACCATCTCGAGCAAGAGGGAGTCCCTCTGCCCAAATTCCGCTAGCATCCGTCGCAAATGATACATAATGCCATACTATGCAGGACGCCCAGTGCTGCCATCAATCACAGAGACTCTCCCCCGTCAATCGGTCAATCAATTCTTCCCTCTCCCCTTCTTTCCATTCTCTCGCCATACAATTGGGCTCTCGATTTTTCTACTGCCTCCTATATTGTGATCGGTTTCATTGGCACAGCACGGCGCACCCGCTACAGCCCTCGTTTCTCCTCCGCTCAAGGTCGAAAGTATTCACACTTTTTTTTTTGTTATATCACCCATCACATAGCAACCATCTCACCCCGATCACTCCATTCAATGCTCTGCACCCGCTCCACCGTAGAAGTAAGCATCATAGAGTTGATACTGGTTCGGTGAAGTTCCCCCTGGGTCCATGTCCATACTCGTAGTTTCACATCATACCGTTCCCACCGTTCTGCCGCCGACGCCGTCCCCGCCCCAATTGTTTCCATTTTACTCTCCCCACACCGTCGTCAATTACCGGCGCCCCCCAGCACTGCAAGCCCAGAGCAAGGGCGCCGGTATCTCTCCTATCATACGAGTACTCGAGTACCCAAGTACAGTAGTCTTCCCACCCACTGCTGTAGGGCACACCCACTCCATCACACGCACAGGCAACCGCACTCGCAGGCTACGGTACCGTGCCCACGTCTCTCCCTCCTTCTTTCTCTCTCTTTCTCTGTCTCTCTCCTCGTCCTTCCCCCGTTCGCTCTCGCTCTCCTCCTCCCCCCTCCCACACCATAGCAATCCCATGTTTTGGGATGCGGTTAAGATTGCATGGTACTTCTGCCAAGATGTATAATACCGGTATTTTATTTAAGGCCAAGGCCGGACAGGGTCTTGCCGTCGCCTGCGAGGCTGCATATGCAGTGGTCCAATCACTACCCTTCCTAGGGTACTTCTTAACCTTCAGCCTCTCCGAGCACCTCTGCTTGAAGGCAGGAAAAAGAAAAAAGAAATCTCATGGAAATTTTAAAATGTACGAGTACTTGCACTGGTACTTGTACTCGTACTCGAGCACATTTCGTACCGGATGGGCAGGGGGAAGAGGAGGTGAAGGAAATCGATTTCTGCTGCCTTCTCTTGTGGAAGGCACGTTATCATCAGAGTGCGGTACTTGTACCGGTCGCTGGTGCTACTGGGGGTGGCACTCGAGCAGTGTCTAGTGACTAGGCAGGCAAGCACGTTATGATACAAAGAACGATAGCTACAAGTTACCACGATTCTTGCGATGGCCCCTCGTGGAATAAAGTCTTGTCCACCCATCCATCCATTCATGACCCATCCACCCACACCCCCTTTTTCTTTTCTTCTCCATTCTACTCGTACTCGTGCAAGCACTCCTAAGATCCTCTCCACACCTTCCAACATCGACCACATGACTATTTCGTCACTAGGACAAGGCGTTTCCTCTCTCTCCCTCTGCTCGTACAGTAAATTTACGGTACGAGTCAAAAATCAGAGCCAAACGAGAATCGTAAAAAGGCCAACCCGAAAAATGCAAGCCAACCCTTTGAGCCCCTTTGGCGGGGATCATTTTCACGCCCAATCGCTCACTTTCTCCTCCTCCGCGCAGCCATAGGATACACAACCGCTCCTCTTCCCACGCTGACTGTGCAAACAAAGCTCATACCGTGCTCGTGTATTCGAGTACACAGTAACCTCATGCAATCACAATTCCAGCATCAAGCAATCCTGCCGTACCGGTGCCGTTCAAACTCCCCACTGAACCCCTCGACCGTCTGATCCACCCTACCCTTCCTATCCACCTACCCCCCCCCCCCCCCCGTCGCCCACTACGAGTACCGCACGAGCACAAGTACTCGAGTACTCGTACCCTTCCCTCCCTCCCTCCCTCTTAATTTCACCCCCCCGGTCCCGGCGTCAACCACTAGGTCATTCCAGACCAGAACCTCCGACCGTTCGTCAGAGCGACAAGAAGAAAAAAAAAGAAAAAAAAGGACTCTACCGGCACTCGAGTACTCGTACTAGTAACCTCCAATCAACCACTTCCCCCGCTCTACCCCCTCGCTTGCCCGCATTTGGCAGTGGGAAGCTTTTTTGTTCACTCTTTCCAACTCCCCGAGACAAGTGGGAGGTTGGAAAAGGGTTCCTTTCTCTCCCCCCTTGCTCTCCTCCTGGCTCACTCTGCTCGAGTATAACTATGTACTCGAGTACTCGAGCACAAGTAGCCGCAGACGCTAATAATAATAGGTGATCAAATAAAACCGAGAACAGAAAGCCAAGCAAAGACAGACGAACACATCTCACACACTCTCTCATGCTAGCGCCCGTTGCAGCACTGCAATTCCCCAGCGCAATTCCCCCCCCAAAAAAATGGGAAATGGGAAAAGCTGTGTTTTGGTTTGATTTGATCTCATTTGTTTCTTTTTTTCTTTTTCTTCTTTTCCTTAGCTTATGACGAAATCGGTAGCAACAAACCGCCCACCCTTGCCGAAACCGCACACACCCAGAAAGCTAGAAATAAAGGAGGACAAGGTCGTCGCCTAAGCAACCGTACCCTGTGAGCACTGGAACAGCACGGTGCCGGGTACTCAAGTACGGTACTTGAAATGAGCCAAAAACTCACACGATAACACAAAATTTTCCAAACACGAGCACATCCTTGGAGAGGTATAAAATACTATTGTAGTGGCTTCATAAAAGCTCTCGGGAGTCACGCCCCTCCAGTCCCACGTTTTCTGATACTCGATGAGGGCGGCGTTCTGGATATTGTGAAGTTTCGAAATCGCGCATGCGTGGTTCTTTTTCGGGGTCGTGTTTCTCGAGTACGTGTACTAGTACAAGTCTGATAGCCAAGCGCTGCTATTTTCTATGCACCGCTTATTACCCAAGCAACAAAGTGCCCATTGTGTTGATTTCCACCGTAGTTCGCGGCAGCATACAGTATGGTCCTGGTGGGTAGTCTACTGGTACAATCCCTCCGTCGATCGAAGTCCTTTCCCCATTCACCACTCGACTCACTCGCGAGCTTAGCTGGCCGGACCGCGTTAGACAAGGGCGGAATGCACGATACATGACCGGAGAAGCATGTCGTCCGAATCCTCTCTGCGGAATTCCCGAGAAACGAATTCAGCTCGGGAAAGTGCAAATCCCACAAACATACCATGCACTCGCACCACCAAGAACCTCCTCTTCCACTAAACGTCAACCGGGGTTCCCAGATCCCTATGATTACCCCCCCTTGAGCACATTTTAACATCTTATAATAACATACCGGTGTTTACTTCCCCATCCGCAAACGCCTCCTATACCGCTGGGGAGGCATTGCACCGCTCTGCTCGTGATTTTCGAAGGTACCGTCTAATGTCCGGAAATTTCCACCCCATCGATCTAATTTGGTAGGAGGAATCAGGAAAAAAAATATCTACACTGTTCGTACTCGAGCACAAGTACAGTACAGTACGAGTACAAGTACCGTAGGATACTGTTGGGGTTTTTGGCGCTTATTTTTTCTCCTCCTCTACCCGCCCTCTATTCTAGTTTGGGAGATGGTGCGAATAAGGTACAGCACTCGTAGGGCCGGTTTGTGTTGCCGGAGCCGTGCAGCCAGACTTGTGAAAATCGCAAGTACTGTACTCGTACTAGTTACTTGTACTCGAGTACAACTGCCATTACGCTGCGTTGAAATTGGGCGAAGAAGAAGAGGAAAGCAGGTTCGACCAGACATTTTTTTGCGGTTTGTGGTTGAACCACGACTGCGAATGTCTTTCCATGCCATGCTTCGGTTCGAGGATAAATTATTCACTGTGTTGTGCTCGGAGCTAAAGTTAGAGCGATACGGTACTCGTACCTGTAACCGTGGTAAACCACGTTGGACGGTTGGAGCAGGGGGAAGAGAGAGATGGCCAGATGCCCTTCTCTATGCCGTATTCCCTTTTCGCTTTCGTTTTTTATTTTTTCCCCCTCTCGGATACGCCCCAACTCGAGTCCCAAGGATCTACTTGTACTCGTACTAGTACTTGTACTCGAGACAAGTACGGTACTCGTACCCACCCACCCCCTACCGGTATTTTATTTTTATTTTTTATGGCTGGGTGCGCGTCTCTGCATTCCTAGATGGGCCCTGAATGCCAGCGATAATCGTGGAGATTCATGTCCTTTGGCACAAGATACTTAGACCATGTCGCACCGCATCCATCCCAGACTTTTCCGCCCTACGATCCACCCCCGTTACCCTACGAGTACTAGTACTAGTACAATGCCTCGGCTTGGCCATGCAAATGCAACGAGAAACCGAAAACAAAAGCACATACCGGCACACAAGTGCTCGAGTACTGGTACTCGTACAGTACCGTACTCTACCGTACTTGTACTGGTATATTATGTAAGAAAATATGACGTGTCATTAAAAGGCTGAACTACAGTAATATCTACAAAAAGTTTGGTGCTTTTTTTGACCATGAGGGCATACGAGAATGGAAATAGAAAACGTCTCTGTGACCTGCCTCTCTATTCTGATTCCGGACCTTCCCCCCTCCCCTATTCGTCATTTGCCCCGGCTGCAAATCCCGAGAAACCAGCTCAGATCGAGAGATCGTGATCTAAATCGCACACTTCCTATGAATTATTCGCACCAGTAGTTATCAACCAGCACTGGTGAGGACATAGCTAAGAAGAGATCCTATCATCAGCTTATCTTGCTATCATGTGATGTTAAGACAAAGGTGCATGGTGTTGCCGTGTGGTCGCACCAAAAGTGGACACTCGGAAGATCCGCCTCTGATAAGCGAGAGCGGCTACCGTACTCGAGTAGTTGATAAGGACAAGGAATATATATATATTACCTTGTGATTGCGCTCATGCGCTCGCTCGTTAGTTTCAAAGCTATCTCCAAGAGCTCCTTCGCAATATCTGGCTGCGCTTTTTTCATGGATTCCCAAGATTTTTTGCTCAACACCCAGGCCACTGTCCTCTTTTCAGCGATAACTGTGGCGGTCCGTTTTGTTGCGGAGAAGAAGGGAAGTTCTCCACAGGTCGTCCCTGTTTTGACATATATGTCAGACCCTCTTAACGGAGTGATGTGATGAACAATGTAACAGAAGCTCACCGGCGACGATGCTTTCGAAGTATTTACCCTGTTCCAGGTCATATTCGGCTCGGAACATGCCTTCTTCCAAGAGATAGAATTCCTTGGATTTGTCCTAGGCGAGTTAGATCTGCACTCCTATACCCCCAAGCCGTTACCCTGGGATGCTTACCCCTCTCGAGAATACGACGCTCCCTTGAGCGAATTCCCTCCGGACGAAAAAGGGAATCACATGGAACCAGAAATCTTCGTTCTTGTCCGTCATCTCCTGGAATGTTTGCAGGATGAGTGGGAGCGGCTGTTTGAAATTCTTCCATTTTGAGTGCTGGGGTTCCAATTCCGATTCTCCGAGAGTCGACGCAGCCGCCAGCTTTAGGAGATTCCGCCGTGGGGAGCTATACGCTACTTCAATGCCATGGATATCGTTCGGGCTCCGGCTTGGGACATCTGATTACAGTTAACTGTGCTGGCCGATGGTCTGCTTAGTTAAAGAGTGGGTCTCACCAAGATGCGTCGGGGGAGCATGTTTCACCGTGGCAAGCTCGTCACGGTGAAAGTAGAAGGCTGTTAGGAATTCGTTTTCACAGGCCTCGAGTGCTGCATTTAGGTCTTGGAAGACTTGGATCTTATCATTATCTCCCCACACACCAACAGCTCGTAGCCCCCTACCAACTTCACTCTCAGATTGAACGCTAGACAATATCATCTCCACATTCTTGGCCGAGAGTAGCCTCCGCATTCTAGTGAATGCTTCCGCCGCCGAGAAGTCTATTCCGTTGACATGTAAAAGATCGACGATTAGGAATCTAATGGGTTGTTCCTGGAAATTCTTTTCTTCCAAAAGACTTCTTATCTTACTCTCAACCGAGGCGATTGTGCCGAAGAACATGTATCCAGCAAGCTTGAATACCTGTATTTGGGGCCCAACTTTCCGCAAGAAGCGTTGCTGATTAGGGTGCCGCCGAACGGTTGAACGGGCGATAGCGCCGGAATATATAGCACGAATTGCCGGCTTCTGGGATGTCTGGACAACATAAGACATACAGGCTAGAACTATGCCAATCAGAATACCAATAACAAAGTCCCATGCTCCCATGGTAACAACGATAGTACAAATCTGGTGTTAAAAATCGGGGAATGGTCAGCAACCGATACCGGTATGATACTTCGTGTTGTGGAGGGAGTAGGTGATGAGGTTGCGTACCGTTAGGTATTCGAGCCCAGAGAGTTTACCCCACGTGTCATATAGTGCTTCCCGCAAAAGCTCAATCCCAAGCAGAAAAATAAGTGCGCCAACGACCATAACTGGAATGTATCCAATTACGGTGGGACCTATAGCCATAATACCAAAGGTGCCGATAGCAAGCATGACCCCAGCCAGTCGACTGTCACCTCCACTCCGAATAAACAAAATACTATTAGTATAAACAAGGTAGTTTTGGATACTACCAGCGAAGCCCGACATTGCATTGGAAATTCCATGTGCAACGAGCTCGCGGTTAACGTCAACATTATCCTCCCCAGTGGAAACTCCTAATGCTGGAACGTTTATTGGCACGTGGAGAATTCCAAAGAATGTCAAAGCAAACATAGCCGGCACAGTGCTGGCAAGTGCCTTCCAATCCACCTCATTGAAGTCTATAGGTAATGTCAGTAGAAAACAAAAAAACAAAAAACAGTTCAGATCAAGGAGATAGTAGGGACTGACCATATAATGTATAAAAATGATAAAAGGGTACTCCGGCTTGCGGAAGCTCAAAAACCCAGCCTTGATCTCGCAGGGGGGCAATACCAAGGTCGGGGACAGCTAATACTACAAGGTAGAACACGCCGGGTATACTTAGAAAATATAGCGGGACAATTAAAGGGTGTTTGATGAAACGTTGGATAATAATTAGTATTATCGCAAGAGATAAGGGAACCGTCCAGAGCACCAGGGTAGCGGGTTCCAGAAGAAGTTGGAGAGTCTCCAGCTTGTAGCTGAGGTTACCGTCCAATCTGGCTGACACTTCGAGGCCAGTCGCAATGAGAAACCATCCTACCCCACCTATACAGCCTACCAGAATGTGACGAGGAAAGAATCCGGTGAGGGAGCCAAGTTTGAGATATCCAAGTGCAAAGAACACGACGCCAGTGAGAATTGAGCTAAGAGAGTAAGACAATATAGTTGTTGCTATGACAGCCTTGGGTCTATCTTCTCCAACCTGATTGAGAATCGTAAAGGCCATCTTGTGGAAGAATGGTACAACTTCAATCTATTAACTGTTAGCAATAGCATCGGGTGGGACATTGTTTAGTTGCTATACGAGACAAGCGCTTGGTATCCATTGGTGGGGCCCGGCAACTAACCATTTCGGAACCAATGCCACCCTTGAAGATACTGCCTCCGCATGAGTACACCAACTGCGATACTATACAGCTCACATAAAATATTGACAAGCCGTCCGGGCTAAGGTCACTAAAAATACTCTGTCCAAGGGGAAATAGAATCATTCCTGTAACCCGGTTAGCTCCCGGCATCCAGTATTACAGTAGGGGTTGCGCATAAAATATTCACCATAAGATAACCCATCCAGCACATTCAACAATAGCCCCAGTAACACAGCAGGAAGATATCCTACCGGTTTGACTGCAATTTCCCAAATATCCTGTTTCCTCCACATCTTCCGTTTGTGCAACATGCTCTTCACGGCATCCAACCCTTTCTCGGTCGGCCATGTTATGGCTCTTATCACATTCACTCCGGGCACTGCACCATAACCATGATAAGTGGCAACATCACCATTAGGCTGATGAACGGCGTCATATAATCCTGCGTCATCTCCCGCAGGGGGTATCTTCGGAGTTCGCGCTGGTCCTTCTGCATTATCGGGCGCCGAGGGATCATCTGTAACTGGGCTATTCTGACCATCGTTGGTAACGTCGTGACCCTGCCGTTCCTCCGGCTCCGTCTCTGGTTCTGAATCTGTCTCCGGTGGTGAGTTCCGCAGGAGGTGTGTTAAGTAGGACTTCCCAGGGATATTGGTTGGGGTTTCGCTCTCAGACGAGGGTTCTGCGACCTCAACTATAACCCCCGTTCTATTCGAACTTCCCTCCACCGTATAGATGAGGCCAGTGTCGGGATATGAAGAGGACAGGGGTCGAGGAGGCGGGCTACCGCGCACCGAGCCGGCATCCGACAGCGCTAGCGTGGCCAGCTCGGCCGTTTGATCTCGAACTCCTAGGGAGGAAGTATATTGTGGCCATGTGATTTTGTCAGGGTCTACTTGCATGCTTCTGTTAGGCAAGGCATCAATGGAAATATATTGGGAAAGAGCCAGTAACCTACCGTGCAAGTGGTGGTTATGATATGAACTGTGAAAGAAAGAGCGAGAATTTTGCTTCCCCAGGAGAGTCGGCGGGGATGGCGGGGACCGAGAGGTGAGCGAATAGTCTGATTGGGCATTCCGAGGGCCATGGGGTAGTAGCAATCCCGTTTCTTCGTCGGGCTCCCGTTGCATAGTGTCCTCTTCGGGGAGTGGCACCCCCGCGATGGTAGAACCTCTTCGTGGGTACGAGGACAAAGACATTCACCTCGAATCTGAAGAACCCAACAACACCATTTAATACTCTAGGGCATTTCACGGATGGCGGAGGAAGTTTACCAGAGCTCAATTCCTGATGTTGGTGGTGGTGGGAGGTGTCTGGGGGGAAAAAATTGGGGGAATTGCGTCACCGGGGCGGTGGATGTTGAAAGAAACTCGGACCTCACGAACGAGGGTCGTTGGTAATTGATGGGAAGGACTGTGAAAAGGCAATCGAAGGTAAGAGCGGAGGCGAAGGTTATATACGTCAAAGCACCCTATTCACTGTTCAATCTCTGATAACCAAAATTGCCATGGGGACGGGGAGCGCCAATGGATTATAGGGAGGAAGGAGGGTTCACTTTTTTCTTTCTTTTTCTTCCTCCCCTGCTGGAGCCAGAGACCTGGCATTGGCTGGGCTGGGCCTCGGAAGCTATTAAATAGGTTCTTCAAAGGCCAAAACCCGAATGGCCAGCATCGGCTTTTCCCTCTTGGTTTTCTTCTTTCCCTTTCCTTCTCGTTCCCTTTCTTGCTCCGGGTTTTTAGTCCAGCATTGTGGGAAGGTGTAGTCAAGTGCATTGCTGATACCGGTAGTGGAAGTCTCACTGGTGGAGTTGCTTTTGGAGGGGTGAAAGCAGAAGGCACTAGTGGGATGATCGGGGGCAGCAGTCCAGACCCCCTGCCCACGCCCGAACACAGCGTCGGCAGAACACAAGAAACGGCCGTGGGAGGCTGAGACTTGCATTGGCAGTTAACTCATGGGGGTTCGGTTTTTCCTCAATCCGCACTGAACGTCATGGCAATTCTCGCGGGGCAAGAGTGGGAGGCAAAATGTCCATTTCAATTGCTTATGATACCATTAGTACGAGCACGGAAACCTTCTTTACTTGTATTATAACGGGGGTGTGTTGCAACAGAGTTCCCTTACTGGGACTCGTACCAGTACGAACAGTACTGTACTGTACCATGTTCGTCCCTCCTCGTCCCTGTTCCCGGACGCCATTTCGTCTGCCGGCACAAGTAGAGAGTCTCGGCCACTCTCTCTTTTTCTCCATTTTATCGCACGGTTCTTTCTTTTAAATCAGTTGGCAGAATGCCATCGCCACACGGGGGGATTTGCCCGCGGGTCCGACAGAAAAGACCAGAGCTCCTTCACCAGGCAGCAGTTCCCACCGCACGCGGGTTGCGCCTGCACTTTGGATCATTCGCTCAGCCCCTTCGCATGGCCCTAGGCAAGGAAGGGCTTTCCCTCCCAAAAACCCTTGCCGCTAATTTTTCCGCGTTCCCGCTCTACCCAAACGCCCGCTCCTCTGATGGCACTCTGAGGTTTCATTCCTCCTAAAATGGGTTGGGATATGATACGGTACGGTACTGTACAATACTAGCACATGCGCTTTACAAGGCTATTGATGAGAGTGCTGTCTGGTTCTCCAAGCTAATGGGAGAGCACACATACCGCCCAAGGTTTTTGGTAGGAGCCAAATAAACCTTAAACTGCCGTACCGGTACCCTATCTATCGTACCGGTACTATGATACCTATGATACCAGTTTACTTTTAAGGTGTGGAGCCTATCAGGCTGACATGACCCTGCTACCAGAAGCGGAAAAAGAGGGCAAGAGAAGTGTACCCGTAGGATCAAAAAAAAAAAAAGGAGAAATGCAGTGCATCCCCAACCAACCCTACTTTCACCGGGGAATGGTGAGCAAGTGGGGCGCTTCGTCCTTTGCATGAAGCCATCTCGATACTGGGCTCGAGTAGCGGTAGTCTACAGCACGAGTATCATACTGTGCAGCTCACAGTGACTGACCTCACCTCTCTTCCTTTCCCTGGAGTATCGCCATGTGATAGCTTTATTTCCTGCCCAGTGCCATGCCATATAGGAGAGCAATTCTCTTCTGGGTCTGGGAAGACTGTCAGGCACACCTCTTTTCTTCTTTTTTCTTTTTCTTTTTCTTCTCTTTCCCGCGATGCGACCCCCGCCTCACTGCTATTCGTTGTGCAATTGTGGGGTTATCGCGTTGGTGCAACCGACCTATGAGTATATTTGATCCTTATTGTCGAGAGGTATAATTTGCCAAGTGCACTTTACTCCCACGCCAGCCTCTCCGATATAAATTTACCGGTACCGGACTACCGCACACCATTCGAGTATGATACCATCTGCCGCGCACCCGGAAACCATTACGGTACTCGAGTATACTCACCCATCCCCGGTAATACCGGTGCTCCACTTGTCGTTGTTGCAGAAGCTTTTATTTCTTTTTGCTATTTACTCTTTTCCTTTCTTTTCCTTTCAGTATCTTCCCCATCTCCAATGCATTCATCCATTCATTCGTTCATCCAAACATATATACACACACACACATGCATACCAACAGTATCCCCAAGGCTACTTATAGGACTGTGGATACTAGCAGATCTGGGGAAAGATAAAGATAAAAAACTGGTTAATCTAACATCAGAGCTTCACTGTAGTAACCATCAAAAGCAGACGCATCACAGTGCGATGTCCAATCCAGCACCGTGCATTAAATCTAGACTGCCGGTTTCCTCATTATTGTTGGGCCCTGTCCGGCGCCCTCCGGGGGCGGCGGCGTTTTCCGGCTTTCAGGGCTTTTTCTCCTTTTTTTCCTTCTTCTCTGGGTAAACAAATAGGTATCACGAATGGGTAAAACAAATGGGGACATGTTTGACACGCATAGTAGGACAGCCTTTCTTTACCTTCTTCTCGGGTCGGAATGTTGGGTGTTTAGAACAAATTGATCCTTTCCCCCTCAATTCGGGGCTATTTGTGTTCTCCCCACCCAGTGCGTGGCCAATGGTGGTGATGGAGGCGGAGACACGAGTGAGAAGACCTAGGACTTTCGGGTTCAACCCTAACAGGAGCTCTTGTCAGGCCTTTTTAACCTGCAACAGGTCTCATAGTTTAATAGGGATGTCGTGGACTCAGGATGCTGAGCACCAAAGTTTTTCTTTTCCTTTCCTCTTCTTCCCCTCTCTTTACCCGGGATCATGATGAATTAATAGGAAGGAACAAAATCAAAACAAAAAACAATTTGGCATTTCCCCCCATTCCCGTGTGCCGTGATCGGGTGATCGGATGCTAGTACCCTATTCACCGAGCATCACTCGTGGTCAGCGGAGGGACCGAGGGATCAGGCGGTGGCACATCAATCCCGGGCAGAGGTGCTGGTATCATACGTCTAACATGGACGGGATTCCCTAACGACATTGCGTCAGGGAACCCGTGCTTCTCGACCTGACAACCGTACGGTATATACCGACACGCGGACTAGACTGGACTAGACTAGACTGCTGTCCCCAGTGATGGGTGATCAAGCGTTGAAATGACAACTTATTGCGCCTTTGGCCCGCGGGATTGGATCTCTCACCGTATGACGGTCCACCATACAAGTGCCGGCAGTTCACCATCCGCGGCGAGTGGAGCTGAGTGGGCACGGGCTCACGTTCTGTAGCGTGCCTTTCCCTTACCGTACAGTACTGTACAGTGCTAAGTTAGCATCGTATGATACTCGAGTATATGCGAGTACGTTAATCGCCGCATGGGGATGATCCCCCAACATTCCAATGCATGTCGACTCAGGATATTCCCGTTTTCGTCAATCAATGCCGCCGCCACCACCACTACCGTACCACCCCCACCATCACCACCATCAACTTGAATCGACACCCACCGGCACTAATTATCATATTCAACACGCTAACCGTATTGCGACCTTAGTCATCTCCTAGCTAACTGGCATGGAGTCGATAGAACATGTCCATTCGCGTGATTGGCCTGCTCACCGATCTCCGGTCCGGTATCTCTTTTGTTTACCGTATGTTATTGACCGGCACGCCGGACTAGCTTGTCGACCGGTGGGTACGAGTAGTCTATGGCTTGCGCAATGAGACCTAGGTGATGTTAATATAAGTTAACGACAAGGCTTGGCTAGCTGTTTCTTTAGTCCCACCTGGTCGAGGTGTGAAAACCCTGGAATTGGACCCGGGGTTGAGGCCCGCTAATTTAATGCCCACTTCCACTGCACTTCCATGCCTCCATGAGAGTATGATATGATGATACTGTGGCCATATTCCTCTCAAGCACGATCCCAACAGGAGTGGTTTCAAGAAGCTCAACAGTTGTCGGGGATCTGATGGGCTGTTGATGGAAGTGGCAACCCCTAGCAACATTTTTACCAACTCCCATCTATCATGGATCCGCCAGCGCCAACTCTCTATTGGGAAATGGTCCTCTCTCTCTACGGCGCTCGTATCATGCTTGCCGATGTGAGGGTTGGTGCTGTTCTGGGCTTGCTGGGTTGGCTGTGGACGTGGAGTCGCAAAGATCCTCACGTACGGTACTCCTACAGGTACGGTATTTGTCAAATTTATTTGTGTTTCACCGCGGTACGGTACGAGCACCCTACCGATACTCTGCAAAAGGAAAAAAAGAAAAAAGAAAAAAAAACCGTACGTTGGTCCGCCGATTTTTATTTTTTTGTTTCGCCGCGGACTAGTTTGCCGTTTGCCGGGCGCCCGAGATCCTCACTTCCCTGTCGTTAACCTAGTCATGCTATCATACCTCCAATGTTTATTATTATTCCCCCCCCCGCCCACTTTTCAGCGTGCATTAGGGATCAGCCTTGGAAAGGTGTGTACCGCTATTTGGGGGCGTAGTGCACTCGAGCAGCACACGGTGGCTGCGTGGGGGGCATGGGAGAGGGATAGAACAAGAAGCACCTATCGTGTGGCGAGTGATGTTATGTGATGTTATGTGGTTTTTTTTCCCTCTTATTTCTTCTCTGTCGTGCTCGTACTGTGCCGTTGGCTTGCCTGGGCTGAATTTACTTGTGATATGGGATTATGATATAGCGTGATTGGGTACTGCGGGGAGGGGTGCTATGATATGATACTCGGGTAGATGAAGGTGTGGGATGCTTGCTATGCACCGTAGGAATATGTGCGAAACTGTTCTCAGGATTGGGGGGGACTCTGGGATAGATTCTTTTTGCTAGCAATTACTATGGGTATAATAATGGAAACAACGAGCAGTAAATGAGTGAGGGATATAGAGAAAGGAGGAAAAGATATTCAATGAAATGAATACTCTGAGGATGTTTAAAACGCCAACCGGGTTGAAGTGTACTGGCCATGTTCACTTCTGAAATTTGGGGATTTTCTTTGGGGGGTGTTTGATGGCTTGTGATTCTAGTTAAGCTTCTGTAGGAACCCCTGGGCGATCAGTCTTTCGACGTCGCCTTGTCGAACGAAAAATTGACTATTCTTCGTAAGGGTAATAGCACTGGTGTCACTGTCAACGCGATTCTAATTTAGTAAATAAAAGACAACAGCTTCTTACCCGTATTCTGTCTGTATCTCTCCAGCATCCTTAAGAACTCTAACATCGATGAACAGGTCCCTCGGGGGCTCCAACGACCCGGTGAGGTCGATATCTGTCCACTGCCCCTTATACGCGGCTAACAGATCCCCGTACTGTCGGGCGTACTCTTCCTCTTCAGGGCTAAGCGAGCTGGTCCCCGAACACTCAGCTGACACAATCCCCGCCCCTTCCTCAGCTGCCTTCTTCTGGCTTGTCTGAGCCTGCTCGAGCAGATCGCTGCCGCTCCAGCACATTCCCTCAATCATCTCCGCCCGGACACGGTGATATGCTAGCAAACATCGCTTATTCCTTCGCATGCAAAGGTGGCGGACGAGAAGACTACAGGCGGTGGCTGGCTCCTCGGCTGGATCGAAGTGGCCGTTGAATGGCTCGAGTGTTTCCGTAACGTCGCGGTCTAGATCACGTACTTCGCGGGTTACACTGCGCACAATGTCACTCTGATAGGGTGGGAGTTGGGGGAGGGATTGTGTGCGTTTTGCATGTTGGACCTGGTGAATCAATTAGGGTCAGCTTGAGATGGTATAATTGGGGGGGGTTGGTTCGGGAACTTGAGGAAAGGAGGGGGCAGGATGAGTTGGGGTGGGGGGGGAGGGAAGGCTATGGGGACAAACGAGCTTTAATCCGAGATCACCGTACATGGCTTAGTAACACGGGTGCGGGGAGGGGTACGGGGAGAGGTGTGGAGTTTGTGGTGGTGTTGTGAGGTGAATTGAACTGAATTGGATTATGATGATGGTAGTGGTGGTGGTGTCTCTCTTAGGGCTTCTTTCGAATCCTGGTTGAGGTTGAGGGGTTGTGCCGGGGTGTGGGGTGCACGAGCAGCAATGGATTTGTAGATCTGCCGCTTGTCTAACCTGGCCAGTCTGGGCAGTGCAACCCATTTTTCTTCTTGGCTCCCGGACACTTGATCTGTGCTTTCTGTTGCTTCTACGAGTAACCTTCGTGCCGTGCAGGTACTAACCGGTAGTACGAGTATAGTGGATTGGGTCTCTTATCACCCAAAATGGATTTCCTTCCATGACGTGCTGGATGGAGCCCCCTTGACCTCTCCTATTTTGAGCCCAGGCATCATCAAATCTACTTTGCTTGGCCATCTCATCAAGCTCGTGCAAATGTGCATACCGGTATTGCCACAAATGCGAGGTGACATTCTTTCGATCTCTATGACTTCCTAGCGCTCTTAGCACCCCAGAAATGTGAGTTTCTAGGGAGGGGGTAGCCCGTCCGGTATTACCGATGCAGAGTTGCATGTACTCGAGTACATTGAAAACCGTATCCACCCTCGGCATCCTCCATACGGTGGTCCGGTAGGCTTCCAGACCGTGTTTCCTGCTCTCATGATGCATTCTATCCGAACGATGATCACCGATCAGATCAGCAGTCTGCAAGCTTCCGCTCCCTTCAAGACTGGAATGTGCCATTGGGTGGTGGAGCAACGTCTCGGACACCTACCTAATGCACAAGGTCACGGAGTATTCATCCCCGGATACTTGCAGACCAGCTAGGCCGTCTGTGGACCACAGTTCTTATAGTTGGCATCTACAACATTCCCACCCTTGAGAAGAGAGAGTTTCGGTATGAAATGGCAATCCATTGATGATTAAGCTACAGTACCGGCACAGTAGAGGCCAGGAACTAATGAAAGACGCTTCACCGGGCCGTACACCGCCTTCTGCTAATAGCTGAAAATACCGTACAATTGTGGATGCAACACCAAAGCCGTAAGGAAGGTATGTACTCGAGATAATGATAAGACCTTTCCGAAGAAGAGATGGATAGTCATTCATGGAAAAAACGGGGCAAGAAACTGCAGAAGAGAACACGTGGATGTCGAAGAAAAAAACGCCTCTAACCCGGGAAAAACAGAAAACAGACATGGGACCTAACTAGAACGAAATTCCTCTTTCTTTCTTTCTTTCTTTCTTTCTTTTCACCATACAAATTTTCTGACATTAAGAAAAGGGATGGGACAAAAATGCAATCCACTACTGGCACCTTCTTGACCTTTTTCCTTTATTTGGGCAGGTAGGCTTCTTGAAGCCAGTCATCATAATGGAGTTGGTCGCGGTCTTCCATCATGGCGTCTCCATTCCTGCCCCAGGGTTCTTGGCTATCCAGAAAGCCTTGTATGGATTGATCGTACACCTGTATCTTGCGCAAGTCAGCAGTATGGCTGCTGCGCTCGAGCTGGGCCATGGGGTCTTGCTGTGGTTCGCCGTCGGGGAAGGGGAGATGAGGAATATCAGCGGTTGCAAACAAACGGTCTATTTCGAATTGACCATCGAAGATCCCTTCGTCAATGAACTGGCTAGCATGGTCTGGTTGGGCGTTTTGATGCTGGCTACTGTTCATATAGGGATCTGTTAGAGACCCGGTGGCCAATAGTGCAGGATCGACCTTTGAATTATCTTGGCCCTCGAGGGTCGACGCGAGCAAACTGTCTATCTGGTCTGTTTGATACAGTGCTTGTTGGGGATGATTCATGTTCATCGTTCCCATCGGGGCTTGAGTTTTTCGAATCGTCACGTCCTCGATCACACTTGGGTGCATGGAGCTCGGGATGTTGGTGGCTGGGCTTGTGCGAACAGTGGTTTCGTAATACTGGCCACTCAAGTGCATATTGGCGTTCGCCATACACATTGGCGGAGTTTTTCCTGGGTTGTTATGGATGAATGACGACCTCTGGGCCCCGCCCTCGGTATGATCGTAACAAAGACCTATAAAGCCATTGATGGAGGTTCCCCTATTCTGGCTGGAGCCTTTGGGGGACTTTTTACCGCCTCGCATGGTCTTCTTGGCCCCCCGAGCCCCTCCCATGCTACCAGCATAGTCGTCGTCATCATCCGGGAAGCCTTCGAGCTCGCTGGGCTCTGATTCTTCTGGCCCTTTCACCTCCTTCTTCTTCTTCCCGCTCTGTGTCTTGCTGGGACAGAACTTATATCCCGGGTGCGCCGATTGGTGGTTGATACGTTCAATTTTTGCGAGCTCGTTGTACTTATCCCGGATTACAAGAGGCTCCAGGGGCCAGCTCTCACCGCTAACGGAAGACACCACTTGGTGATTGTTTTGCAGGCACCAAAATTTCGTCCTGTCTGCATATGCCGATCGATACAGCATGAAAGAGTTCATTGGACGGGTAACGTATCCACCACGCTTTTCCACCTCCTGTTTCCGGGTCTCCGCGCTTCGCCGGACCCATGACTCCATGTCCTTGACTGGAATGTGCTCATAGTCCGCAGTGAGCTCACTCAGTGGCATCGTCAACTTTGGCACTTTGGGTTTTTCGGACTTTTCGGTACTTGGCTTGCGTTTTCTGGTGGGCCTCTTGACCCTGATATGCGTGGTAGGCTCGCCGTTTGAGCCACTTTTGGTCGTGATGGTCGTCCTGTGGTTGATAACCACTGCGGTATCTGATGTGTTCCTGGCGGATCTCCTCGGGAGCACCGGAGATGAGATTGGCTCTTGGAAACCCATGTACTGGAGGCGGTCAGGAAACGTGTTGTGTCGAATTGGAAATGATCACTTACCGGTTCTTCGGGCCTGGTCAGGCGCGCCTCAGTATTTTGATAGACTGACTGGTCCGTGAAGGTTAGTTGGGGCTTGATACGCCACGAGTGAGGTAGGTTTACTAAGTCATTGTAACTGTCATCACTTATCGCATATTCCGGATGCTTCGCTTGACGTTAGTTGGAGTGCCGATCCAGCTTTTGGGAGCATTCCTTACCAAAAAATCCATGTCGGTGTGTCCGGAGGTATCTGAGGTGGGTGTAATTTGTTCCTGTTGGGGTAGCAGTTAGAATTAGCCGGATAGGTGAGTTGAGGAAGGTACACACGTTGGGCTGATATTTATCTCCGTACCCAGCCAGGTCGCGGTAATCCGGAGTGCTGTATGGCGGCTGGCCTGGAGGGAAGTAGCTCGACTGGCTGAGCTGATGCTCTTGGGATGCGGGCGTTGAAGGTGCGCAGTATGATTGCTGGCCAGAAGAGAGGCAAGGCGAGTCGAAGCCCAATCCCAAGGAGTGGAAGTTGTATGCGGTACTAGAGGTGTTGGACATACGCTGAGGAGTGAATTGTCCTTCAATATTGCTCTGCGATAGCACTGGCGACGGGGGCGCCTTTGCTGTGGCCGTCATAAGAAGTGCGGGAGATGCTGGTGTGTCAACGCAGCTCGAGGTCTCAAACCCTTGAAGTGAGCGTAGGTGGGTGGGTGGGTGGGTGAGTGAGTGAGTGAGTGTGAGTGATGATGTTTTTTTTTCTTCCTCTGAAATTCCAGAGAACAAAAGTCGATAGGGTCTGTCGGTAATCAAGAGGCAGGCGTTGGAATTGTGCAAGACAAGATGGAAGGTGAAGAAAGACTGAACGAACCCAGGATGGGCCGCGGTTTATGAGGACAGTGCGGCGGGAAGCTACACGAAGGGAGCGGCACTCAGCAATACATTCAGACGGGTCTGGGAGGCGCTAAGGTATACTATACCTCTTTGTCGCCAGGGAACTCTGCTCGCACAGCGTGGGGTTGGGCGTAGCGGTAACCGGGGATAGGTTTGCTGGAGGTATCCTTCCGCCTGCGTTGATGGGGCCAGATCTTGAAACGGTAGAGATGTTCAAGAGTTCTCAAAAGTTGACGTTTTTTCCCTTCCCTCTTCCCTACCCTCTCGAGAGTCAGAAGCCGAGGACTAGAAAGGGATTGTTCTTGTTCATCCGAACTTGTTTGGCTAAGACGAGGGGTGCGAGTATAGATTTAGTTATATGGCGAGATACAAGCGATAGACTTCGATCCCAACTGTCATGCCCTTTGGTCCAACGATGAAAGGTGTGTGTGCGAGGGGTCCAAGAGGGGCGTCCCGGGCAACCTCTTCACATAGGGATAATCCGCGAAGCTTGGGAGTTTGGGGTAGCGGGAGGATGCAAGAGACAGTTGCTTCGGGCAATGTTGCAGGTTGGCAGCAATAGTGTGTGCGTGATGGACAAACATACAGATGTCAACTCCTCGAGAGGTGCGCGCACGATAACATCCAGTACTCTTTGTTCGTGCGTGGCGGCAACGACAGATACCAGAGGAGTAGGGACGACGAATTCCTTTGTTCATGAGCATAGGAGGTGACGGGCGACGCCTGAGAGGTTCAAATATATGTAGCGCCCTTGCCCTCTATGTGAAAGGGTCTCGTAAGTCGGCACATTCTATCATGCCCAGCGTTGGAAGGGGTAAGAGAGGGAGCAAAAGTAGTAACAAGCGAAGTGTGGGCGATTTGAATTTCGTTCGATCAATTGTCGCTATGCGCACGGCAGAGTGGTAGAGGGAAAAGGCTTTTTGGGCTCGAACGGGGGGTGTAAACTCTAATTACTACCGGTTGGGAGGGAATAGAGGGAACGCTTTTGGAAAGACATGGCTGGGATGGACGCCGCTATGGGCTACAACTTTGATCCGGGGCCAAAGTTTCGTTACTCAATTCCTAAAATCGGTGCTATGCAAACTTTCCAATATCTGCAACTAGTGGCGGGATGAATTATAGCCAGAAGATGGACGAGCCATTAGACTACTGCAATACACAAGCGGCCGTGAGGGTGTGTGTGATGGTTTGTGAGTGAGATAGTGGACGAATAGGTACCGGTATCTGGTGTAAGAGTTTACCGGTATTGTCCCTTCCCCTCCTCCTGCTTCTTCTACCCCTCCCAGAGAGTGGGATTTTCCCCTTCCCTTCCCTTTCCCTCCTTTCCCTCTCCCAAATCACCAACCCAATTCAATAAGAGCAAACAGAAGCGAGCTACGTGACCTAGCCCATGTCTCCAACCATCCACTCGTACCGTACACACACGATTAGCCTAGAGCAGTACGGTAATCATGACCTGCCCAGCCTAGCCTAGTTTCAAACCTCGCATCCATCCATCCATCCATCCATCCACCCACCCACACATCCCATCCCATCCCCAATCCATACCAGTAGGGTACTTTCCCCCTCTCTAAGAAATGCCACCACCGCTACCCCTCCCTTCCTTCTATTCCACCATTTCTATCCTTCCTTCCTTCCATACATATGGAACACGCTTGTGCTGTAGGGTACAGTACCCATCCTATGCTACATACACGAACAGCCCAGGCCCCAACTCCATCCAGTAACCCGCTGGCCAGCGACATATAGCAAACCATGGTACCACTCCCGCTAGCTGCTGTACATGTTCCTTCCTGTCATGCTTCCCTTCCTCACCTCACTCGCCGCGAGCATATATATACATATACATACACATACGCATGCACACACACACACACATACGTGCATACATGCATAGATACGGCATGTGCATACGCACACAACTTCCCACTCTATAACTCCCCGAGCGCATAGAACCCACTTCAAACGGCTCACCTTCTACTTCTACTATAGTGTATTCTCTCTCTCTCTCTTGTTTTTTTTCTCGCATGCGGATATCCGCTTTACGCTAAAAGCTTGCCTGCTTGCCTACCGGTACTTGATCCAGAGAGATGTGAACGTGAGCGTGTGGGTGTGTGGGTGTGTGGGTGTGTGAGGAGGGAGAGGAAGCCACCCCCAACCTCCGGAATACTCAATTTACCCTTCCTATGTAAGTACCCGCACCAGAGTTGTGCACGGGTGCCTGCATTTTTGGGGTGCGGTTTTTCTTCTCCTTCCCCTTTTCTCTCTTTCTTTCTCTCGCCGGTTGGGTAGTTGGTTCTGGGGTTACTTCCTGGGCGTAACGAGATTGCATACCTGCCTGCATACCTACCCACCTGCTTCCCTCCAGGAGTGGTTAATCAACCAGCGGATCGTCATTGGGACTCTTAGGGTGCATACGGTGTTTCTGTTCCTGGTGTTTGGTTCGGTTTGCCTTGAGTTTTCCCTTTCCCTTTCCCCTTCTCCTTCCCCCCGCCGCAAAGAATCGAGGACAGGAAACCAGAAGGGGTAATGTTCCTATTCCATTTCCGGAAGCAGACACCCGCAGCCAAGATAATTGGTTCGTTGTTCACGGAGTATCACTCGACACCAGTATTGCCCAGTGCGGCTTTTTGCCATGAGGTTCTTCCGCAAGGAGGAGGGAGGAATTGTTCGTTTTCGTTTCCCTCGTACTTAGTTGCTGGATTCGGAGGGTTTCAGTTGAGGGGGAGGTGGGATGGTACGTATATACCATTGGGGGGGTTTTTTTTTACCAGTTCGGTTTAGGGTTTTTCCGTCTCACTTTTTTTTTTTGGAGTGGGACGGAAGGGATGTTGGCGGGAAAGTGAGGTGCTGTGCCTAATATCATAGTATCATACCAGATATTACCATGGACCGCCCTCGGGTCAGGGGGTGCCGATTGTACCCAGCCCTGGAATGCCGGTTGCTGCCACAGGTCGGCAACGTGCCCACACCGTAACTGGATATCATATCTAGGCCCCTCATGACATTCTCTCTCGTATAGACCACATAGTCTAGGTGGTTAGTTGGTTTATCAGATAGCTAATTGGTTAACAAGGCTAACGGCTTACATACAGTAGCTAGTCTATGGGATGACATCCCTTATTCCCTCCCCTCCCTCCCTTCCCTTCCCTTCCCCCCCCTCCCTCCCTCCCCTCTCCCGCCGCCTCCCTCTTCTGCTAGACTTCCTAATACGGGTCTAGATCCTGACTAATTGAGGACCAGTACGACACCGCAACAACCACAGAAACAACGGTAAATATCACAAGGAGGAGGGAAGCGAGAACGTGGGAAAGGTGGTACTTCCCAGTAGCTCACTTTTTGAAATCTATCAAGAGCGATAAAAGTTCCAGCCATTACGGGAATGGCATGCTAGGGAGTCATGTGCAATTCCCATTCCAGCCTGCCGTACAGCGCATATCTCGCAAAGCAATCATTTATCCATCCGTCCATCCCATGTGAGTCCGCCATATCATAGAGTCCAACCGACGGAGTGACGGGCCTACCCTACTCCACGGTCCGAAATAGTGGACGAAAAGACCCCTTCTGTCCGTCACTTGCAGGAGAGAACGTGGAGGGACCCCCTAGCTTTGATGGTCAAGTCATGGCAGCGTGCTGCGTGAAGTGAGGGGAGGCCACACCACCGCTACCGACTACTCGTACCGACTTCCGTACAGTACGGTACGGTATAATAGACACGCTGAAACATCTCGTGAATGTTTGAGTTTGCGAGTTGGTGTGAACTTAATTCCCGTGCCACTGTAGTCTACTTTACACTGTGTATGATATCGGTATGTGCTCGAGTACGGTACCGGTACGGTACTCGAGTACAGAACGAGCACTCTTCTGGCCATTCCGATTCCGGACAGTACCGCTAAAAAGTACTTGATTGGATGGTTGGTTTGTGGGACGTTCGGTGGGATGATGGTTGAATGTGCGCTTTGTGGCTGGGTGTGGTGGGTGAGGATGAATGGCCTGCCTGCCCTCTTTCTCTCCTTCTCCCATGAGCGAGAGAGAAGGGGGAAGGGAAGGAGTAAACAACCGGTGCATTCACCGTACCAAGCAGTAACTGCCCTCAGATAATTGACCTGCTAATTATATAGTTTCGGATGGCCACCCCCCAAACCTTCCCACGGGAGCCAAGGCGCCGTATCGTACGCACCGCCCCAGAAAAAGCGGCGAAATCGAGTATCAAAAAACTCTGAAAAAAAAAAAACCCCCCCCTAAGAAGACGCCGGGCCGGGCTGCCAGCGGGCGGGCGGTACGGGAGCCTAGAGCGCGTTCTACAACCTGGAAACCGCCGTTTGGTCGGCGACCAGACGAGGTGTTTTTGATGATAGGATTGCCTTTGCCCTACCCCCTCCCTGTGTGAGAGAGAGAAGTGCAGTACTATCTTGTCAGTTGGAGATGGTGAGGGGCGAGTGAGGAAGAAGGGGGGAAGGGAAGGAAGAAATAAGGTTTCCCACACAGCTCGAGGGAGGAATATCATCGCCGGCCCCGGCACCGGGGAAAAAAAACCCTACTGCGCTGCCGCTCAAGCTCACCGGCAGCAGTGACGGAAACGCTCACACATTCTCTGTGAACCCCACTCCATTCACCAAGCCACCGGTGCCGTCGCTGGTTCCCGTTCCCGTTTGCTTATTCCCCCTCCTTCCCCTAGCCCCCACCACCGCTCGCATGGCACCGTGCCGGATCCAGATACCAAAGAAGTTTTGCGGGCCGCGTCCTGAATTGTGGCCATAGAACTTTGTGCGGGCGCTCCTCTCGATGGAGGAAGGAAGGAGTTTCTGGGCTTTCCCCGCCGGCCAGGAATCGATTTGATCTGAGGAATGCTCTTGCTGGGGTCGGCGAGGTTGGTTTTCGGGGAGGGGGGGTTGTGGTTGCCGGAGGAATGGAAGGGGGGAGGGTTGGGTGCGCCGAAGCTCCTGTTTGCGCAACCAGAATCAGTCCATGGCCAAAATATACTGCTGCCGGTGGTCGACTCCATATCGTTGGGATAAACGTGACACGAGAATTGTCGTGGAGAGCCCTTGTGAGAGAATTGGGGGGGGTATAGTAATCAGCCTGGCTGTATTCGCCATGTGTAAGACTTTATGGGTTACGGAAGACCAGTGAAGGGTCTGGTAAAGTAGACTATGGTGGCTAAAGTTGGTGGTAATGGTGGAGTTACCGCGAGTAATAAAATGGGTGTTCGTGAAACGTGGGGCATCGGGATCGCTGATACATGCCACTAGCATCTGGGTAATAACTGTTTGATTATCCGGTTGGAGAGCTTGGGGGCAGTTAAGATAAAAAGGCCTGCTACACTCAGCCTGCTACATTCCCGCCTTTTCACACCCGCCAGTCCCCCAAAGATAGAGCAAAGGTAACTCAGTTACACACCTTCAACCGACGCTTGTGCCTATGATGTAAGAAGTCTATGATAAATAACGGCCATATTTCCATCCGAGAAAAATATGAACAAAATCCTGCAATGCCATTCGATTATTTCCACACCTATTCGTCCGAGTCACCATCCGAATCTCCAAAGATTGCCTTAAAAACTTCCTCCCCGGCCCTCTCCCCTTCCAGAGCCTCGTTCCTCTCGGTATCCACTGTCGGAACAACGGGTTTCCGCTCCATCTCCGGGAGCTCGTACTTGTCATCGCCTTTCACCTCCTTCATCATATCCGCAATCTGAGCCCTGGCAACCAGCTCTCTTGAGGGGCCAGGCCCATTCTGCGGGCCAGCGGACCCCTCCCCAGTGCTGGCCGGCACTTCAGAATAATTGGGTGGCGGGACGTTAAACCGTTTGCATAGCAGCCTTGATGGGTAGAAGTCTATGACGGACCGAGTTAATGGGCCATACATAGACATTTGAGCGGCGGCCTGTGCAGGGTCCTCTGGCTTTTTCTGGGGACGATGGATGAGTACGTCTGGGTCGGTTGGCGCATCGGTATTTCCCTGAATATTTGAAGATGACGAGGAAGATGAGGTGAACCGAGTGGCTATCATCCCGGTCAATGGCTTGAATATGCGCGCCGCACCCACGAACTCGTTCATTTCTTGAACCCAGCCCTGGGTATTCATGCCGTATTTCTGCACCTCGTCAGTTGTGATTGACACTGGAGAGTAGTGGGGGTTTTGGGCATACCCTATCCGGTAACCCTTCTCTCAGCCCTGCTTGCACTTCCAAGAATGCTCGGTATCGTGATCTCTTCTCGAGATCGTCTGCGTACGGCATGAAACCTCCCTTTAATGCGCCCAAGGCCTGGGTCTTGTCAAGTTTAGGGACAAGGCCTGCCATAGACGACGATGAGCTTGAATACGTGGTGGGTGGAGCTTCGCCCAAGGCTGGTGGTAGGTTCTGATTCCCCGTAACACTGGCAAGCCTCTCTCTCACGGCTGGAGTCAGGAAGTCGAAGACCGATTTTCCCGGCAATGGCGTTTCCCCCAGCAACTTTCCCCGTAGATGAGGGCCAAGCTTCTGCTGCAGATTCAGAGCAGCGGTGGGCTTGGTATCCTGAACCCCTGGAGCCCACAAGCCGACTGGCTTCCAACCCTCTGGAACCGTAGGTGGAGGATACCAGCCATCCTGCGTCTGAACTGGCTCTGTGGATAGAATAAAGCCTTCGAGAGGTAACCTCCCATCATGACATTTTAGCAGGGACGTCGAAGCCTTCGATTTACCCAACCTCTTGGAAATAAAAACATGTCTAGCCGGCTTCTTCACAATTGCAGCCTTCTTCTTCTCACCCCCGATCACGCGATTATAGGCACTCTTCGGCCGGATCTCGTAAGGATCCTCGTCGTCTTCGCCATCATCGTTCAGAACCCCCACTCCAAACCCATCACCCTTCCTCTTTTTTTCCTTCACAGCCGGACGCTCGATCTCTGACCCTTTTTGCGGCTGCAGTCTGTCCTCGCCCACAAACCCCAGTCCTTTGGAGTCATTCTTCCTTGTGAGCGTAACAACTGCACTATTTGTCGGCGCAAATAAATAGGTCTTCCCGGTATCGTCCACGGCATCATCAATCACAGCCTTCCTCCGGACCTTGGGGCCAATACCTTGCCCTTCTTTCCAACCCATTTTCTTAAGGAGCCCGGCACCCATCGTATCTTGCACAGCAGGCATAAGAAGGTCCATCAGAGTAACTCGTCTGACGCTCCGGCCAAGCTCCTCCTCTGTAGATCCGATCCCGGAAAACCCGGATGCCGTTTCGACAGTCTGTGCTTCTGCCGCCTCCTTGAGATCTTCCTCATCCATGAAGTCTTCGGGCCGAGATTGAGTAGCCTTCGCTCGTGCGCCCCGGGAGGACTTGAAGGTTGCGGGAGTCCATCCTGTCATTAGTTAGCCTCTCCGCCTCGCAAGCACTTCAATTGCATCGACGGAGCAAATAAACCTTCCTTAGACCCGACAGTATTGAAATACCTACTCACCCACCATTAGCCCTCGATCACACAATAAAATCGAACTAAACGAGGCCAGCATCATACCCAGCACTAAAGCCTCCCGTGAAAGCCCCATGTAGTCTCTTCCTTCCACGCTCATCCGTAACCTCCTGTTTCCAAACCGGAACGTAACTCCCATCATCCCTGGTCTCGGGATCTAATGCCGGCAGCGCGGTCCCGAACGCAACGAACGGAGCTGAGTTCGAATTGCTTCCTCCGCTACCATCGGCCTCGTATGCGGCTCGGGGTCTTTTGCCGGACATACGGCTTGAGGAATCGCAGTAATATTGCACTTGTATTAGGTTGTGCGGTTCTGAGAAGTATCCCCGCGAGTAAGTTAAATAACTGATGATTCGCGGCGTGGCCGAGGGGCTGGGTTGGCAGTTGCAGAAGTTGACCGCTAATTTAGATATCGCGTTGTGCAGGGAGATGGTTCAGTTCAGGGTCGTCAGGTTGTGGTGGTCAGGTTCTTGGCCGCATTCGGTTATGCGGTGATGATCCTTGTAAGCTCTTAAAACCTGCTGTGCTCTGGGTAAGCTGGGTTTGGGTGGATGAAAGCGGGAGGTTTGGCTGTGAAGTGGGAATATGTGGTTCGAGTGTAGAATTTTGAGTTCAAGTGCCGCGGACGCAAGTGCTGCTGCGCCACTAAGACTGCACGTGTGGCTGGGGACGAGGTTGCTTGCCAAACTATGACCGGCAATGTCCAGTATGATACTTTGGTGTGGCTAATACCGGAGTTCTGGACGATATCATAGTATGATAGGGCCATGGAAGGTTAAGCTAAGTCCTGTTATTTGGCCCAGGGAGACACCGGTACTATAATGTCATTTCCATCGCATCACCTTCCGTAAGGCTTTCTCACGCAACTCGACGACCATATCTCGCTCAACAGCATACAAAAGTTAATGCCTCTGAGAGAGTGAGTTCTATCACACTACCCTATCGTACCAGAGTCGTCCACGAGGATCCATATTGAACTGCTCACGGTCCAATATCTACCCAAAGACTACGGATGATAGCGGGGGGTGCGTAGAATTGCCCGTCCTACCACGAGATACAGACCGCCGCTCAAAATCATCATTGGAGACAGAGGATGTTAGTACGTGTATCGCCCCTCCGAAACTTAAAGGATTAATTCCCACCATCTAAGAGGGGGTATCATAGCAAGATCCCTTGATAGGACTCTCCGACCCAGCTTCGGGACACTAAGCCCTCTGAGAACCATATCCCGGTGTATCAACTCGAAGATACAAACCTGCAGTCTCCTAAGGCCCATAACATCTTTAGCATTTTAACAAACAGCCTCGCTTCCATTTTTAGTACGGGGCTCGAGACTTTGTGCATCGTTGCTACTACCGTACTGCTACTACTACTACTACTACTACCGTACCACTACCTCTACCACCACCACCACCACCACCACTACTACTACTACTAACTTACTACTGTACACAGCACTTGACTTCACATTTCGCTATTTCGCTACTAGCAGCACCACAATACTGTACCTGCACGTCTCCAGCATTATCAAAATAATAAGCCCCGAACATCCATTCAAACACAAGCATCAGTACGGCAACAACCGCATTCTCCAAGATTAACAAAATCGGGCTACCAAAGCACCACTACCATCACTCCAACCCACCCCTTGCAAAATATCACTCGTGCACTAAAATGGTCATCGGGTTATTTTCAGCATGATAGCCCCATGCCATCTCCGCGCTCAGTCGGCATCGCCACTGCAGATACTGTGCCTTAGAAGCAAGGTACAGTAGGAAGAAGTGACCGTGTCGCCGGAACACAGGGGGGCGGTGTGCGGTCTTGAGGATGTTCCACACGCAGGGCATGCCCAATGCAACCCTCAATATATAAAAAATAACCAACCCTGAGATCGAAAATCCGCCATATTACGTACTCATAGATAGAGGATCCGGGTTAGCCAACACTGGGAGATCTTTGCGACGGAAGATGATTTGGGGAGGGCGCATGGTATTTGTGCTTGTGTGGTTACAAATTACTACGATATCTTAACCAAAGGGAAGGGAAGGGAAGGGAAGGGTTAGACTTTTTTTCCGCGCGTGGTAAGATATCTTAAGCAGACTACCATCTGGGTGTCATGCGTTAACCTACCATACCAGCAGGAAATCTGATGATACCGGCGCCGGTAATCGTTTCGATGACCCAGAGCACCGTACCGCGGTCCACCTCCCCCTCGCCCTCTTTCTTAAGCAAGGCAATTTTGCCGCACACATCCCAATTCACTAACTCGACCCAAACCGGGGAAAGTAACATGTCCAAAGTGTCGGGCACACGTCGCTGCGGGGGTACGAACGCGGATATACACAATAGTCCTCAAGATACGGAGTTCCCAACCAAGTTTTGCTTGAACAGATATGCTGACGGTGGCATGCGATGAACCTTATCGGGGCGCGGCGTATTTCGCAGTCCAAGATGCGTATCTGACTTCCCGACATTCCTACCGAACCGACCCCCCGGCACGACTCTAATCAAGTATTCTCCTCCACTACCGTAGCGGTATCATGCCGTACGGCATATACTGTACCTGGGGGAAGCTATAAAAAAACCCCCATTTCTCCCAAAACGGATAGGTTGGGTCTAATGCTAATATCACATTCCCCGGAACCCCGTCTGCTATCTTCGCGCGATTGCAAACGGTGATCTTGCCCAGAATTATAACCTGTTCGCATGCAGCCCACCACGGTAACCGTATAGTACCGCATTAGAGCCGCAAGGCGGAAGGGACAACGACATTCCTTCGCGACTATGTGGTGCGACAAGGGGAAGAAAGAAAAAAACAATCCAAAGTTTCTTTTTATCTCTCCTGCCTCTGCCCATGCGCGTTCATGTAGTTATGCAAAGGTAGGTAGGCCATACTCTTGTGGTTTCCAGGCGGCGTTGATTTGTGAACAGTATTAGATCATAGTTATCTCTATTTGGTGAGGCACGAGACTTGCTTTTGGTTGACCTCGAGACCAGACCGGACCAGCATACAGTACTCGAGTAGGTGACGAAGAGAGATGATCGCCTCCCCCCCCCCCAAAGTCCTGGACTCATATGTCACGGGTGCGGCTATCGGTAGGCTAGGTAGAAACTACCGAACGGAGTCCTATGTGTTGGCAATTCCGTAAACTGGAGTTGGAAAGGGTAAGGGTACTGTACTCGAGCATTTTGCCTGTAACTTATGGTTCAGCAGGACGAGCAAGCGAGCAGGAAGGTACTTGTACCGTAGGCGGAGGGGAATACAGGGAAAAATAATATGACATCGGGGAAGTGAGCGTCTCGGCGAGTGTCGAGTGTCGAGTGATATGTCAAAGTGCAGGGGAAATCACCGACAGCAGATCACAGGAAATAAACTTTGCTAGATGAGTATCGACGATTATCATGCCGGTGTTTACGCTTCTTTTCTTTTTTCTCTCTCTTTCCCCTTCACTCCCTCTCTTTCCTTTTTCCCCCCAGCACTTCCCACTGGCCATACTTGTACCGTATTTTGACAGGGCACAGCAGTGGGCATTCTGCATAGATGTGGGATGAGAAATGGTCATATTTCATGGGCGGAGAGGTGGCAGGAGCTATTCGTATTGGATGGGTTTGGACCCTCCCGGTTGGATGGGGAGAAGCGGGCGGGACGGGCAACACCAATTTGCAATTCAACGAACAGCGAACAGCGAACAGCAAACAACCATTCCGTACTGCCGACCTGCCAACTTGCCAGACCAGTGACTTGAATGGATGAGGGAGCACACATGGCACGATCGGTGCATGGCGGTACGCCGTGATTTGCACTGACAGGCGAGGGAAGCTGTGTGTGATGGCAGGGTGGGGATTGACTGGGGGATTGGGGGACCGGGGTTGTGTCTCCCGTAATTGTGGTGATGGAGGGTGAGGGGAGGGAAGCTGTGGATTTGGTTGTGGTCCTGCGGCAGTTTGCTTGGCTTCTCCGCCAGATCCACTTCGTGTTCCGCGATGCGGCTTTCTTTCTTTTGGTTCCTCTGGCCGTCTCGTTCTCGAGGTGTACTGTACTGTAATCCCTACTCCTCCGTTGTTTATCTCTCTCTCTCTCTCTCTACCTATCACTATCTTTGCTTGACCAAAAGTCCGCCTTTTGCTGCTTTGTTGTCCGCTTTGGAATCCTTTTTCCGTTTTGAGTGTGCGTTCGTCTGTTTCCCACTCTGGGAATTAGGGAATTTCCTCTGGTGGTGCCCTTGCACACGCCAAAAGTATCATACATGAAAGCTTGCACCGCCTGTCTGCCCGTCTTTTTGAATGTGGTGGTGATTCTGTCAGTCCTGCCAGTCTACCGGTATCTGCTCCCCCCCCCCCCCCCCCATCACACCCATCAGCGTAATCCATCCATCTATCTTCAACCCTCACCCGTCGTCCTTCGTCCCTCCTCTCCCTTCCTCTCCCCCCCTCTCCCGCCCTACTTGGCCTCACCCTTTCCTCTGCTTTCCTCTTGTCCCCTCCTCTTCCTCCTCCTCCTCTTCCCTCCCTTTCACACCCATCGCTCTTCGCAGCACATCAGTACCAATACTATTGTTGTTGCCTACTTTTCTATTCGTTACCTCAGCCTATACTGTACCGTGCTATCTGTTTGTTGCTGCGCCCTTCGGCTCCCCTCGCAAATACCAGCTGGTTCCCCTCCACCCTCCAAGAGAAAATAAAAATCAGACTCGTTTCCCCCGCCCTTGCCCAGTGTGATTCAGTACCGTACACTCCCTCGGCTCCTCATCTCGCTTCCGGTTCTCGAAGCTGACCGTTGCTCCTGCAATCCCCCCCACATTTATCGTAACCCTAACCCCCCCGCCTGTTACCTCCCCTCCTCCTTATTACCCTCGACATCCCCATTTTGTTTGCCCTCATCATAAGGCTATAGACCCACTTTCCACACATCCCGGATCATGACATCCCATCAACAGGCCCCTGTTGTCGTCCAGCGACAACAAAGCTCCCGCCACCAACGGCAATCCTCTTCCCCTTCCAAACCCACAACTCCGTCCCGACCGGTCGATCAAAACTCATTACGCCCACCATCCTCTCGCCATACCGAGGCACCCCGCTCGGTTCCCACTACCGCTGCGTCGTCGAATCGCTCACCACACTCGAGAGCAGCATCGGCGATGCCTGAAGCCCAGAGTGTTATGGCCAATGGAACAAGTGCTCAGGCACCCTCTGCCGGTATCCCCGATGATGGCAATCGTCAGAGCCACCACCCGCAGAGGCCGAAAAAGACATCGATCCAAGGTTCCACTGGGACGTGGGTGCTTGGAAAGACGATTGGTGCCGGTAGTATGGGGAAAGTCAAGCTCGCTAGGAGGTTGGATGGCTCGGAGCAGGTTCGCATCCCACCCGCTATCTCTCACAGTGATTATGCGTTATTGTTGCTTACCGGGACTTGCGTTGTGGAACTTAGGTTGCTGTCAAAATCGTACCCAGGCAGGTTATCCAGGACCAGGGAACGGACCCGGCGACCGGACAGCCATACCCCCCTCGTCACGATGACAGCAAAGAGGTTCGAACGGCTCGGGAGGCTGCTATAGTTACTCTACTTGATCACCCGTACATATGTGGGATGCGCGACGTAATCAAGACAAACAACCATTGGTATATGCTTTGCGAGTATGTGAATGGCGGGCAAATGTTGGACTACATTATTTCGCATGGGCGACTGAAGGAAAAGCAAGCTCGTAAATTTGGTCGCCAAATTGCGAGTGCGCTTGACTATTGTCATAGGAATTCGATCGTTCACCGTGACCTCAAGATTGAAAATATCCTAATTTCGAAAACCGGTGATATAAAGATCATAGACTTTGGACTCTCAAATCTGTTTTCCCCGAGATCTCATTTAAAAACCTTTTGCGGTTCTCTTTACTTTGCTGCTCCGGAGCTGTTACAGGCTAAACAATACATCGGTCCGGAGGTTGATATCTGGAGCTTTGGAATCGTTCTTTATGTTTTAGTCTGTGGGAAGGTTCCCTTTGACGACCAGAGCATGCCCGCCTTGCATGCGAAAATCAAACGTGGGGTGGTTGATTATCCTCAATGGCTTACTTCAGGTATCGTGGACCTTTGATGCTATTGGGGTGCTAGCTTGCTGACAGAAATAGATTGCAGGAACTTACTCGCGCGGATGCTTGTTACCGATCCCAGGAACCGAGCTTCACTGCAAGAAATCCTGCACCACCCCTGGTTGCTCAAAGGCTTCCAAGGGCCTCCGGAGAACCAACTTCCTCACCGGGAGCCGCTCACACTTCCGCTTGATCCTCAAGTTGTTCAGGGGATGACAGGATTTGAGTTTGGGACCAGTGAGACCATCACTGCGCATCTCTCGAAGATTGTTGATTCGGAAGATTATCAGAGCGCCGTCCGGAATGCAGCGAGCAATACGCCCTTGACGTCACCAAATCCGGAGAGGAAAAAGGGATTTGGATTTGATTTCTACAAACGGCGCTCGTCAACAAGCTCGAAGGATACACTGACAAACCCTAGTAGCGAGATCTTAACACATCCCATGTATCCAGACCCCATCAACGCGTATAATCCACTTATTTCTGTTTATTACTTGGTTCGGGAGAAGTTGGAGAAAGAACACCGGTTGACGAATCCACCTGTGCAGCTTCCGTCACCCGCTTCGGATGCTGAAAAATTCGCCAAGGTGACTATACCTAAGCAGCCAGAGGCAGTTTATACTAGTGAGACGAGTTATGAGTTCAAGGGCGAACTCGTGTCCACAGGTGGAAGGACCCGCCCGAGGGCAAGAACTCACGGAGATGAAGAAGTCTCCGAGGTGATGAAAAAGGTCAATCCTGGCGGTGTTTCGCTGCCACCTTCTCCTGTCATCCCTCAACATGTCAAGGGGGAGGCCGCCGCGACAAAGAAGGAGAGTGCTGTTGGCGGGATGTTCAGGCGATTTAGCACAAGAAGACATAATTCTTCCCGGAGTGATGCGTCGAGAGCCGATATTAAACCACCGCCCCCACCAACCCTGTCTTTGCAGCCGCCGAGTGGTCCTCCACAGGCTGATTTAGCAGCCCCACGGAAGAGCCTATCGGTCCGGAGACCTCCGGGATCCTCTCGCGGGGAACCAAAGTCTGCTATCCAACCCGATCTACTGACGCCCCCGACAACTTCGGATGGGGGCTCAAAGCGGTCAAGCAAGCTGGGTAGATCTACAAGTGTGTCCGAGGTTGATTGGCGACGGAAGTATAGCCGGAATCACCCTGGTGACCCCCCAGGCACAAGTAGCTCCGAAAGGTCGATCTCTGCTAGGGACGATGGTGCTATTAGTGACAGGGGTTCGAGCACATCAAAGACTACCGCAACTCGGGCCAAATCGTTAAGTCATAGACGGAGAGAGGAGTCCTCCGGAAGCCATCGTGGACGGAAGGACGAGGCTATCGCAACTACATTTGTACCTAATGAAGTTCCGGAAGAGGATGGTGCAGACGCAGCTACATCAGTAGGAAGCGCGGATGGACATAACTCTACAACACTATCTTCGGACTATGTTAAACCGGTTTTCCTTAAAGGACTTTTCAGCGTGGCTACAACTTCTACTAAACCACCAGCTGAGATCAGAATGGACATCATCCGTGTTCTCAAGCAGCTCGGTGTGTCCTACAGGGAAATTAAAGGTGGATTTACCTGTGTTCACAGGCCTAGTATCGATCTTAAGAGTGTTCAAGATAACCCTTCGTCTCCATCTCCAGAGGTAATGAACATGGTCACTACACCGTCCCACCGAAGAAAACTCTCATTCGGCGGGACCAACAGCAGTAACACGGGTCCGGGAGCAGGACAGTCGTCCCCACACAAGTCAAGCGGAAAGCGCAATAGAGAACGCGCAGATACCAGCTATACTAACAGTGACGTTTCCAATGAATCCATGCATGACGGCGTCCTTGGTGGCTCCCTGATCCTCCAATTCGAAATCTACATCGTTAAGGTTCCGCTACTGGCCCTCCATGGGGTCCAATTTAAGAGCGTGAACAAGACGAATACATGGCAATACAAGTCCTTGGCTAGCAGGATTCTCGCGGAACTTAGACTCTAGAATTACCAGCAGTGTAGTTCCTTCAACCCCAACCTTGTACTATCGTTTATCACAGGTTTCGCTTTGCGGGGGGGAACATGGAGTGGGGGGAGGGTAATGGTTAAGATTGGTGAGGCTAGGGAAAAACACCTTTTCTCTCTTTTTTGCCTTTCTTTTTTCCCTTTAGTCAACTTGGCGATATTCGCATGGTTCAACGCATTCTCTTTTTTTCCCGCTCTTTTTTTCCCATTTTTCTTTTGGTTTGTGGACCGTCTTGTCTGTATTGGCTTTGCCAAGATACCCTACTATGCGTGCGTGTTGGGAATGGCGTCAGAGGGTTTGCATCTGACCACCAGTCAGTCAGTCTGTTTTAAGAAACATGACATCGTGGGCACAGCGTGGCATGATCTGGAATAAGTGAGAGCGCGTGTAGTGCTCTGTTCTTGTTTTCCTTTTCTTCTCTCTCCCGTCCTGTCTTATTTTTCTCTTTTACCAGCATAGCGTTAGGTCCGGATATGAAGTTCTCGCACCGCCCAGTCTAAAACGAAAGATTTTGCTTGCTTGCCCATTTTTCCCTTTTGTCACTCTTCGCTCCAACTTCACTCCCTTTTTTTCCCTATTTCATCCAGGAGTTGGTATAACTTGCGATAATTACTTGGCTGATGTAACAATTGAGATGACAGCCTTTCCTTCCTTCCTTCCTTCCTTCTCACTGCCTACCTATTTATTTACTTGTGTTTTTGCATGTCAACTCAGCTGCCTGGGGATATGGTGTTTTCTTTTTTTTTCAATTTGCTAGTTTGGTTGACTATCTAAATTAAGTGCCCTGCCGATCGCTGTCTCTTATTATTATTATTATTTTTGCTTGCCGTTAGTTTAGTCGCTTAACGAGCTTAATGAGATAGTGTAATGCGACAGTGCTCGGTTATAGTGGTCGTTTTTTAGCTGGGGATTGAGTTTCGGTCTCCCCAAGCATGATTAGTAATATATAATAGCCGATATCCAGAAAACGATTATGAACTGTTGCTGAAAAACATGGGTAAGTCAGAGTGGATTAAAAGGATATGATGAAAAGGGGTAGTAGAAAGGGGGGTTGAGTAAGACTAGTGCCGTCGGACGATAGTCGACAGCCGTCCACCCTGGACAGGATAAGGACAGGTGGAGTCAGACGGGCGTTGACTGCTGTCCGACTGGATGACTGGAAGTACTGAATACTAGTACGTAGCTTTCCAATAAATTAATAAAAAACTAGATAGAAAATTGAAGATGTAAGAGTGTATAGAACATGGTCTAAAATTATAATTTAAACAAGAACAATACTCCAAGTGCCAATCCCACCAATGACCCACACGAAAAAAAACCCCACTAGTAATAGTTATGCAATCATGAATCCTTACAGTTCATATATAGACAATTACTTGAAATATCAGAATAATTCTTGGATGGTGTGATGATACTATAGGAGTTACTTGGCAGTGTATTGTAGGTAACAGATTTTAGTGTGGCTTCAGGGAACTTCCCCATGTCTGGGTTTCATGTACGTTATTATACAGTGTGTTTCCTTCTATCATACCCAGGAAGGTTGGGGTAAGATACATTAGCGTCCAGCCTGGTGGTACCAGCATCGACCCTGGCCCGCTTTAAAACACTCCCGTGCTTTAAACACCCAAAAAATAACGTGCATAGTAGTAGTGTATCATACCTCCTAGTAAATCCTCTAGTATGATATCATACCATTTCATATTCATATTTTGCCCTTCAGTTATACGGGAAACCTGTTCCCCGTATCCTACTTCCACCGCCTGGTTACACACAATCAACATGCCCACCAATCCACCGTGCTATCATACCCCCCCAGCTCTGTACTGTCCCATAACCAAAGCCTCTTCAGCCCTACCCGACCTCATACCCCAAGTAGACGAGAGAGCTCATGCGCAGCCGGCTACTAGTTTATCTCGACCCGGCTCTATCTTGTAAAAACCGCGCTGAGTTTGTCTATTGGATAATCTGTCGCTGCTGCCATGGGTATGTACGTGCTGGAGGATGGTGGGAGTCATGAATAGTCACTCGTGCAGTTGGGTTTAAATGGTAGATCATGTTCGTGGGATAAGTTAGCGTCCGGGGTGGGAGTCGGACTGCGATTCCTTGGGTGGGTATTTCTGTAAGTTGGGGATATCGAAACACAGATGTTTTCTTTTAATACACTTATCGTTGCTGATTTTGGGGTTGCCGTGAGGGGGGCGGGGGGGATATATGTAGTTCACGACATACTCCGAAGTCCCTCCCTGAGCAGATAACTTTTTTCCTGCCACGGGCATACCCACCGTGGCCGTGCGTGATTTGTTGGTGGCTTGTGCCCTCATTAATACCCTCACCGCCTCTAACATATCCCCAAGCAAGCGAATTCCTGTGGTTCCTTGTGATACCCTAGTCTGTTTTGCCAATTTCCACCCACTTTTTTTCTTCTTTCCTCCTTCCTCTTTTGCATACTGTACTCGAGCGCGTGGGAGGTACAGCAGACAGCAACGAATACCAGAACCACGGCCTGGAGGTACGCCAGCGTGGCCCCGGAAAAATTGGTCTTTTCCAGTAGGCTTGACTCTCCTCGCCAAGGAGAGTAATTTCTCGAGAGATAATAAAAATAAAATAATAAAATTACCCGAGCTTAAACAGGTAAAGGGGGGGGGGGCACGAAATCCTCGACAACACATATTAACGGTGCTTGTCAGTGTAAAAGTAACTTAACCAACATCTGGCGATCTACCTAGATGGGAAAATAGTTGCTCGAGCTCCTTCCCGATGCCCCAACCTCTCCGAAAGCGAGAACAGTCGCCTGGCGGAGGCTACTGTTGGTGTAATAATCTTTTCTTTCTATCATACCGCCTTGGGTCAGGTTACTTCCTCTCCCCCCCCCCCCTCTCACTCCAAGGCCCCCAGGCGGCTGTGCGCCCCATTCACTTAGGCATACGTGTTACTAAGGTGACGTTAATCTTAGATGATTAGTATAGCATAAGTTCCCATAACAGTGTAATCTAAGTCTTCCCCGCGGAAAGTGGCATGGCATGTGCAAGCCAACTTGGATACATACAAGTACAGTACGTAGTGAAATGTTTTCGTACAAGACAGGATAGTCAACCAGCAAAATAAGCCCCGTCTCATACAAAAGCGCCTCATCCCGGTACTTGTACAAGTTCCGGATGAGTGTCGGGTCTGGAATACGTATTCTCGGGCCCCAATCCTAGATACTATTGCCCTTATATATTAAGCTCCTAATACGCCATAAACCATGCCAATGATCAGCCGCCATACTTTTTCTCGGTAAAAAAAAGTCCAGCGTTCAGACTGGCACGGTCACCTTGAAGCTGGGCATCAGAAACAGAAACCGATCGGTATGCCAGCCTTGTAATGAGGTTTATAATACAGTACAGTACAGCACGAGTACTTTTACTCGTACCAGGTCATGGATCCGAGTTTGCCACGGCCTCCAACTCCGACCCAGTCACACGGGTACAAGACCTGTCATTCTCCCTACACACACACACAATCGAGAGAAAAACAGGCTGATAACCTGGTCCTGGGCCCTTGCATGTTCGTTGTGTGGTACTGTACTAGTACTGTAAGGGTAGTGTAGTCATGCATGGTAATGAACCAAGTTAGGATACGGTAATCACTTTAGAGATACCACCATCCAGAGCCACCATTTCAGGTACCGTAGACAACAAAGATGGCATCGCTCATGATAGGATAATTTCGGCAACTCTTGCTGCTGCTGCCATAGCATCTAGAGGCGATATATACCATTCAGCTTGTCCAAAGCATCCTTGCACGCAGTTATCGGCAAACGCTGTCAGGAGCCGGGTTCTATGATATGACGAAAGGCTTTGGCCAGAGGGACGGCTATGGTGACGAGTTGGGCATGGGAGGAATCCTCGGAACGTGGTCAAGGCAGGGCATTGGGGCGATTGGGTTTTGTATGTGATAAAGCGGGAGATATTGCCCCTCCCGGTATTCGAAATACGATACCCGAGGGATGTACAGTAATATTGGCTTAAGAATCAAGTCAGGGGAGGGTTCCCAATGATGCCAGGCCGGACCTGGAAGGGATGGTGTCAGACGACGAAAGTGAGTTGAAGGGGCTAATGAAGAGCAACTAGCGAATCTACCTGTTCGAGTGTAATTTACCTTCCATAAACATCATGAGAAAATGGAGATTCTACTTGAGCCATGGGTGCGGAAGATAAAACCTCTTCAGGAGCCACTCCTTCCAAAACAACCCAGAGTACCGTAAACGAACCTTAAGAGAGAGCGAGAACGGAACCAACCAATGTCCCTGAGCTCGCTCCCTCAATAACCCCAGGTGCCTGTACTTGTCATTCGACATAGTGCTACGAAAGCCCAGCTTAAATAGATGAGTACTGCATCATGCGGGATCGCACGATTTAAGCACGCGAGCGTGTGAGTGATTCCAGGAAGCCTCCCATAGTGAACGAGCCTCTGGGGAAAGGTCGCCAACTCCCGCTGCTCCCCTCCAAAAGGCAAAAAGCTCAACTAACACCAGGGAACCGCAAAAGCATATAGATATATAGTCCGCAGCATCATTCCCAACCCAAACCAAATGAACAAAATCATTTCCTTCCTCACATCTCTACGACACACCCCACTACCACCACCACCAGTAAAGTCACGAAATCATGGCACTCCCAAACCAAATCCCAAACCCCAGAGAGACAAGCTACCGATAGCCGCAATAGCGTACCAATAAAGAATAAAAATAAAAAACAAATAGCCACACGGGTGCGACCGGCCTCAGCGTAATAGAGGAAGTGAGATCTCGGTTCACTAGCCATAACTGAGACCTATCATAATCACAGCCTACGGTATGATGCTCGACCAGTGAGTGTAGAAACGAGCGCTCAGACCATCGCGAGCCTGTATATCGCTCGCCCCTTAAAGGGTTAACGCCCCAGCAGTCACCCGTATGATACCCCGCACGCTCGCAGTAAGAAGACTGGACAAGGTTATCACAGGTGGTGCAGTGGTCAGTCGGTCGGTCAGCAGAGCACCGAGACATCAAGACATGGGCCAGTCCCGGCGGAGAAAGACGGGACCTACAGGTGGCTTCCGTGCATTTCCACCAAAGAGCACGACCTGGTGGCATAACATACAGCGCTGTGAACCCTTTCTACTTTGGTTTCCACACTTAGCTACTTGGGATGGTGCAGCGAGTGATCTTTTATGATCTGATTGGCAGATTTCTTCCTGCATTCCACAAAACCTGGATCCGCGCAGGCCGGTGGTGCAGGCGCCGCACTAGCCCACCGATATACTGTACAGTCGAATTTGTTCAGGTTTACGCCTCCTTATGGACCGCACCTTCACATCCCCTCCCCCCATCACCACCCTTCTCTTCCTTATATATATATATGTATGGTGCGAGCACATCGAAAGTGGTACCAGAGGTTTAGGTCCTATCATATGGACTTGGAGACCCGACAAGAGGTACCAAAAATATGAAGAATTTTTATAGAACCTACATTTAGATTTCAAAATCTGATGACGTGATGAGTGTAAATAAATTAAAAATTTATGTCAGCTACTGAGGTTACCCCTTTAATATCATATCTGTCCCCTCATGACCAATCGCTCATTTTTCATCGTAATATTAATAGTTCTTCCTTGCCCGGCATATCCCTTTCAAATGTTTTGCTTTCTCCCCCGCTCCTATGGCCACCATCCAAGGGCATTACCAGTATATTAGCCTTGCCCTCCATGAATTTCTTCCGTTCCAACCTTACTGGCTGTTTTGAGGGACGCCGTGTACTAATATATATCTAGATACTGTATTAGCCATCTGCCGTCACGTACCGGTATTGGTATCACTGAATAAACCTGCTCGATTTGAATCTAATCACAGCGACGAAATCTGTCATGTTAGTAAATGCTATGGTAAGACCCTGAAATTGCATTTCCTTAGCCCTAGTAGGCCTGTCTTGGCGATAAAGTGGAGCACAGCCGCGTAACACATTTTCACAAGCCTCGTACCACTTTTGAAGTGCTCGAACCATAATTTTTTTTAAAAAAAAATCTTTATTGCTATAGACATCATGCCCTCATAACTCATACCCATCCGCTCCCGAACCTTTTCCCCATCCATTCATCTGGCCCCTACCCCCACCATCCTCCATCCATCCATCCCAACCATCATCCAATCATCCAAATCCATTACACAACACGGGGACCAATCGCACTCCTTCAAGGTTCGGGAAAACAGACACATATCAATCTTCGTAAAAGAAAGTTGTAAGGAAAGGGGGAAGGAGCGGATAAAGGAAATTCGTAAGAGAAATATAATGAGTAGTGGAGGTTTTATATGGTAGAAAGAAATGAGAGGAAGGAAGGAAACAAGCAAGCAAAGATGTTTTTGACACTCCGGATAGGTTTTAAAAAAAGATGACACAAGGGTATATATATACAAGAACCGAAAGTAATGAAAGAAAAGGAAAAAAGTGAAAGCGCTTGGGAAAAAAGGAAAAAAAAGCAAACCCAGTATCTCGATTAAACGTAACTCCCCGTTTCCATGATTGATGTTTTTTTGAGGAAAGAAAAAAGAAAAAGAGACGAATGAATAGAGAAAAAAAAAACAATGAGCAAAAGTGGAAAATAAAATAAAAATCCCTGACGAGCCGAGCAGAACTCGATGAACCTTAGCCCTTCCCAGACCCTATCATCAAAGCCGTCGCCCTTTGCCCTCCCCCTTTTCGGCAGCGAACCCCCACATTTCCCATTTCCATTTGCGTTCCAGTTCCCATGGCCCCTTCGAAAAATTTCCATCCATCCGTCCATCCATCCATCCAGGTGCCAGGACCCAGAGCAAAAGGTCCAAGTATTCGAGCAAGTATTCAAAGTGACCAGTGCGCGCGCCCCCGCAACCCCACATTTATAGCGAAATATATATGTATGATGAGGTCCAACGGAAAGAAAGAAAAAGAAAAAAACGCAAAACAAAAAACAATGCAAAGGGCTAAAAAGCAGGTGCAAACCAAACATAACCTCCATCGAATGCATGCGGTTTTATCTTTTCCCACTCCAATGCAAACCCAAACACAATGCTTTCTTATTTGCGCCCCCAAACATGCAGCGATGAATGTGCCGAAACTCGATCACGATGGTATCCCTAAACGACACCGACGATGGGTCTAAAATCGACCCCGTTGTTGGACCTGACCTTCTCCAACCCGCTCCCACAGCCCTCCTGGTCAAAGGGACTCATTCCAGGACCAATCTCAAGTCCATACTCGCCGGCTTCCAAGGTAGTGGGTGACTCGACAACATCGGAGGTGAGGTAGTGAGGGTGTTTCTTGAGTGAAGGCGAATCCAGACAATCCACAAGCTCCGCCAAATCCCTTTTCAACCCCCCAACGTGAACGACCAATTCCCTCAGCATATCCGTATCGAACTGCACCTTTCCTCCATTCCAAGCACCCTTCGATTTTCCCGACCCAATGAGACTATCCGACCTTTGCCAATGCTGCAGCTGCATCCGTTCCATGATTCCTTTAGCAACCTCCACAGGGTCGTTCTTATCGATGGACTTCTTGGATAACGGCGAAGGCGAGGAAGAAGCAGAAGGGCTGCGGAACCCATGCCTCAGGTGAGGGAATGAAGGGGTAGTTGGCAGGTTGCCGCCACCGAACACGTCATCGTCCGGCAACAGGATAGATGAGCGTCTTCTATTACGTGGGGTAGACTTGAAATCATCATCAAGGGTCATCTCAGAATTCCTGGAAGGTGTATGCCAACTGGATCGGTTTTGGCTCCTATCGAGTTGAACGGAGGGAAGGGTATCCTCGTCATCAAGAGTAGCCAATGCAATGATCCCGTCGGCCTCCTCCAAAAGATGCTTATTAGGCCCAGTCCTAAGACCAGAGGCGTTTCCGATATCCCGCAATCGTTTGAGATCTACATGAGTCAGCCATCAAATAGAAGCACAAAAAAGGCAGAAATCGGACCTTCGACCAACAGAGCAAACTCCCGGACACAGCCAAGATGTCCAATAACGCTTGCCTGTCGTTCTTCAATCTCTGGTGGAATGGTCATCTCCCTTCGCGTAAACCCAAACCCACCATCACCATCATCGTCCAGGAAATCATCATCCCAGTTCTCACTCGGCGAAGGAACAGCCCGAACAGCGCCGACGACGGGTACACTCTGGCTGCGAATATGGAAACTAGGCACCCTTCTTCCAGCCCTACTACCCGATAACAGGCTCTCCTTTGCATGGATAGCCTTTGATCTTCGCGAAAGGCTGGGCGGGGTGCCATTGTTTGGGATACTCTCACTCCATTCAAGTATACTTGAGGTTTCTCTAATGCTGCTGCTATCGATGGATAGACCCTCTAATGCTGTGCCGAAACTGGTACTACTCGCATTGTTGAGGTTCAAACCAAGGCGTGAAGAAAGATGAATGCCGCTCAGTGGTCTCAATCCACTCGAAGCAGGAACCCGTAATTCCCCAGCATCATCAACAGACTTTGAGGGAAGATCCCAATCACTACTAGAACCGTCATCGTCATCGTCGGACATATTGGACCGCTGGAAATGTGGCGTGAGGACAGTGGGCGTGGAAGGAGAAGGCACGTCGCTGCCTTTGGTTGGGGTAATGTCCGAAGACATAACACTTTTGGCGGACCCCATGGGCAAGTGGTGTTCACTGGGTTCAGGAGGCGGCAAATGAAATATGGCATCCAATCGAACAGGGGTCGGTTCCGAAACCCTAGTCCTCACGGAGTCAAAAACCGTTTCACTTTGAAAGTCATCGCCTTCAAAATGACCTAGGTCCTCACTCCCAACGAGGGTTGATGCCCTCTCCGAAGCGCTGATTACCGATAATCTGTGTTGATGATGTCTACCGCCCCGGGGAAAGGGCTCAGAATCCACCTCCTCCTCATCGTCGTCAGTGTCAGCCTCATGACCAGGATCAACGGGCGACAAGGCTTCGAGGCGATAATCATCAAGGCCATCAGTGTTCGTCGCAGGCAGAGCCTCCATGTCCAACTCAAGCGCCGATAGGGATTGTATGGGAGGAAGCGGATCTCCTCCCCCGCCCATAGGCGACGCCGGCCTGGGCAGTAGTAAATAGGGGGAATCAACAAGAGGTTCTGAAAATCGCCTAGTGACACCCAAATCCGTAGAACACAAGCCAACCAAAGCGTCGCCGCCCTCACCTTCGCCGTCTAGACCCTTATCGTCCTGCCCATGCCTCCGCGGACCATTTATCGGGAGAATATTCGAGATGGACAATGAGCGCCTAACATGTCGCTTGGGCGCAGCCATGTTGGCAGACGTCGAGGGGCGGTCACGAGACTGCGAAAAATCACCAATCCGCGTACCCGGCCTAGAATCGAAGAAGAGCGAGGCCGCTCCTGAAAGGATGGATGCTGCGTCGTAATCCGGCGTCTCGACGGAAGGTGCGAGCATTAATGTTGGCGCCGACGGCTCTTGGCGAGGTTGGCTCGGATAAATCCTCCTTATCCCGGCAAACTTTGTCAACTTTCCTCCAGCAGCTGATGATGACCTGGCTTTCTGACGTTTAGCTGAAAAGAAGACCCGCCATGAATCCTGAGGCTCCTGAGGGGGTAACCGAGGGGGGTTGGACTCAAGAGCGGAGGTGGAAGGACGTGATGCATGGATCGGCGCCAGATGCGAGGATTTGGCCAGGGGGGTTGATTGGATCACAGCTGTGGACGGTCGTCTAAGATGGCTTGGCACAGAGGGAGAGCCAGCGAGGCGTTGCGAGGGAGAGCGCTTGAGAAGTTTACTTCGCGTGGGCGGCCGCGAGTTTGGGGCGGACGCATCCAAGGATGCAGACTGCGAGCGGGAGCGCGAGGAGAAGCTCGAGGAATTTGTAGATGTTGCCGGGGAGGAACCGGAAGAGGAGGAGGAAGAAAAGGATACTGATAACCGACGCAACCATTTTCGTGATGTAGAGGGTCTGGAGAAGTTTGCATGAAGGGGAGGTATCTCGGGCTGGTTCGCATTATCAACGGACCCGATCACTTTCCCATTGGATCCAGCCGGCTTTCGTATTAAAGGAGTTATAAAATTATTAGAGTGGACAGTAGCATTCGTCAGATGGTCATTCAAGTCGTTGCCCGTACATGGTCGTGCCAAAGCATACCCACAGGCAGCTATGCCGACCGTGGAAGTAGCACACAACTTATCCAGACAATCGTTAGCATATTTAGGAAACTCCAAACGGTCGTGCTGGAAGGGAAAACTCACAGTAGAAACAGTTTTCATTGCAGAAGAATTACAATGAACAGGACATACAACGGGACAACAAGGTCATGAGCATTGCATCGTGAACCAAGCAAGTTGAAAGGAAAAGAAGATGTGTTGTATTAAGGCAGGGGGGGGGGGAGCGATACAAGTGGTGAAGGGCAAGGGAAGAGGGGGTGGGATGCCGGTGTTGATCGAGGTTGCCGATTTGCTGATCAATTAGGGGAGAAGGAGGGGATGAAATGTGAGCAAGGGTAAGATTCGGGGGAGGGCAGTGGTTGATGGCGAGGATGGGAGATTGCCGACGACGGGATGTCTTGCCCAGATGACCTACCCCGGACAGATGGGGGAGACAAAGGTTGAGCGGGAAATAGGAAACAAACGAAGGTGAGGCTGTCGAAATGAAACTGAAATGAGTAACAAAATATCTATTTTTTGCGAACTTTTTTTTTCTCTTTCCCCTTCGGTTTCCGATTCCCCCTTCCTGTCGAAACCGGCCTGCGTATTTTGGAGGGATGAATGGAGGCGGATCCGATTGACCGGTTGATTGATAGGACTAGATGAATGGCCGATGGGATGAAGAAAGGAGGATGCACACAATTCCAAGGGGAACCTAAAGAATGAAGCTAGCTAGCTAGAATGCACACACAGAGATGTGAGCCTGTGTACGATAACACGCACGAGGGAAGGGAAGGAAGGAAGGAAGGAAGGAAGGAAGGAGGGAAGGGAGGGGTATTGATATGATAGGAAGGTTTCCCAGGCCAGACGCAGCGTACGCAAATAAGCTGCCAGGCACCGAATTGAAGAAATGAAATATGTAAGTTACATACCCAGGCTCAAACGTCTCTATAGTGGATCGTCTATCCGCTGAGCACGAGCACCGCAAGATATCTGGGAGAAACCGTTCAAAAGGCCCTCCTTTCCTTTTGGGATAAAAAAAGAACAAGATTGGCAGGCAAACGAGAGACAGAATAAGGCCGTTTCCAGTGGTCAAAGAGTGAAGGGGCAATTTTGCGTGGAAATGGGGGTACAAGTACCGTATGTCAAACAAAAATCTAAAGAGCGGCAGTGGCGTAGAGACGATACGAGTAGAGTAGAGCGCGCGCGAGGAGAAAACAGGGGGAAATAAATAAAATAAAATAAAAAAACCGTTGCAAGCTCAAGCCAAATCTAACTTGACCAGCAGTTTTCGGGACACTTGGGATCTCAACTTTTCTCTATTTTATTTTTCCTCTCCTCTCCCCCAAGGCGTGGTGAATGGGAAGCAAAGGAAAAGCCAGTCGAAACGGTTCCCAAAAACTGCACACACACACACACGCACACACAACTCACGGCAAACAAACGGCAGGCAAGGAATGCACCAAAACTCGGGAACCAAGAATCGAAAGGTGAAGAATGGTTGTTGTCGAGTGGGTTGAGCGCGCGGGTCGAGTCGCGTTGGTTGGTTGGTTTGTTTACTCGAGTGCAGGAGAGAGGATATGAAAGAGGTGCTCGAGTACCGGTACAAGTACTCGAGTAGAGGTCCCCAGGGAGCACAATACGGTAAGTGGCTTCCTTTTTTCCCTTTTTTTTTCTTTTTCTTTTTCTTTTTCTCTCCTACAGGTACCGGTATGATACAAGGACAGTACGAGTGAGTGGGGGTTAGCAACGGAGAGAGCATCAGCTCAGCCAGCCAGAGAAGAGAAAGTCCCGAAGGGTAAAGTACGGTATAGTTACCCGTAACCAGCCTACTGTCGTCCAGAAAAGCTACCCGTACTCGTGCCTCCGCGCCAAGAGTTGGCACCTCTTTTGGAATAGCCTCCATGGGGCCGTAGAGAGTGTAGTCTTGAGGCTGCTCTTGTAGCGTGAGGGATTGCACTCTGCGACTGCCGTGCCAGTGGCCACTCCCACTCATTATGTGGCACTGTATTTTGTGTCACCAGTAATAGAGTCTTTGAGATGGCTCAAACACTAAACTTTTTATGGCTCCGAGGGGACTATTCCAAAAGAGGTGCCAATTCTTGGCTCGGAGGCACGAGTACGGTAGACTATCGGGAAGGGAGAGAGAGCCTGGCCAGGCGTGTGAGAGAGCGGGAGGGAAGGGGAGAGGCCGGGCAAACGATGGCAATGGAACTACCGTTGCTCGAGCACCGCACCGTATAGTACTCGTACAGTATAGTACGGTAGGCAAGAACCAGCTACTCGTCGTACAGTAGTCTACTGTACTCGCACTGTACGGTACGAGTGCTGGTAGACTACAAGTACGACGCCGTGCTTGTGCTCGAGTAAAATGGTAGGGGGGTTGGGAGACCTCCCAAGAAATCGCCGCTGCAAGGCGCTCCCAAAACATACACCTACCGTACCCTACCCTATCATCTCCCAGAGAACCCGTACCACGGAAGGCCAACCAGAAAACTCACATCCACCCTACCAAACCCGGTGCCGGTAATTCTTTACAACTGAAAAGTGGCTCATATCATCCTCCCGCGTCGATGAACGCCACAGGTAAATCAATCGATCAATCGGTCAATCAGACAAATTGAACTCCAGGAATGAGGAGAGACTGAAATTCTATTCCGTCCGCCCGCCCACAGGCAAACAGGCGGAGAAAGAGAGCCGGCAATTTTCCCCCCGCCTCCTGAGCCCTGACCCGTACCGTTCCCTCCTTTGCCGGGCAGGAAGAAAGAGGGCATCGATTCGATTGCGCCACGCCTGACAAAATATCCCTAATTTCGATGCTGAGGTCGGAATCACTCGGGCTGAACGGTAATGAAAGATGTCCAATTTTCCCGTCCTCGAAAGCTGAGATCCATCATCACCACCACAACCCCACCGGCCGACTGCTCCCAGCAAGGCAGGTGATAGCCAGATACTGGTACTTGTATATAGGCAAACCCAGGCACGTTGTGAGCATCATTGAAATCGCCCCATCCTCCCCCCATCCCCGAGCTTACCCCGACACCGAAGGTGATGTTGCGTTGCACCCCGTTCCGTGTTCTGTGCGGGTACCGTACCGTAACGAAATTAGCCAGCTCCTTCCCTCCTCCTCCCTCCCAGCATTGCATAGCATACGGCAGACTGCACAGCGAAACAAGGCTGAAATCAAAAATCGTACTGTACGAGTACGAGTACCTCGCGTAAGCTACAGTCCACAGAGACCTCGAAGCCGCTCGGGTCTTTGTCATCCATACTCGTACTAGTACTCGTACATCGATCTTCCAGAAGGACCATTCAAAAACGCCACACGCAACACCGGTACCGTACGGTACTCGAGTACTGGAGCACGGTGCAGTGCACACAACCCGACTCTCTCACCCAAACCTTCGAATTCAATCCAATTCAACCCCACCTAACCCAGTTCATTTCATCTCATTTCGTTTGCCAGCGCAGCATTGCGCCCCCAAGAAGGCCATATAATTTAAACCCTCACCCAAACGAAACGGCCAAACGAGATTTAATACGGCACAGCCCCGAATGGCACAGCATATTCGTACCATAGTCCCTCTGGCAATTCCGCTCCTCTCCAATCAATGCCCACCCTCGGAGTACCCTCCCTCCCCCCCCTCAAGCCTACCCTTGCCAACACCGGCGGAGAATATAACCCAAACACGAGGAAACGAGAGTCCCCCCAGGGCGGCAGCTTCGCTACGATACAGTACGGTACGGTACCGTACTCTGCTTGTGCTCCAGTGAATTACCCCACGGTATTCACTGTATATTAAATATCATACCATACCTTACACACCGTATATCACATCCCTCCCGCCCTAGTTTGGACCGGGATGTATCGCTCCTCGTTTGTCTTGTCCCTCCCTGCCCTCATTCGCCGGCTCAGCGATTTTCAAGGAACACACGCAATCACCGCGTTTCCATCACAGAAGCGCGAAATCACGGGATCCCCTGCCTTTGACCCTCGGGTTCGTGACTGTGGGGTCTGGTTGTGGCGTGCAGGGTAACTTAAGGGTAGGACGCTGTACTCGTAGAGTGCCGGTAGCGGTTGTTTGTTTTGGTCCCCTGTCTATTTGTTTGTTTATTCGTCCGTTGCCCCTCCCTTCTCGGGGAAGAAATCCCGATTCGCGACTTGCTACCAGTACGGCACTCCACTCGTACATCCTGCCGGCGCTCCCACAATCCAAGGAGAGATGGATAGACTCGTGCAGCAGCAGCACTATATGCATGTGTATGTATGTCTCGCTCTCAGCTCGATGGACACCCCGCCCATTGTCCACCCACCCACAGCTTGACCTCCCTCTCCTCCGATGTTATGATACCGTACGGTACCCGGTACTCCACCGGTATCGCTATGGTATGATACCGTAGAAGGTGCCGGCACGGGCGGTGGTATCATATCACATCGCAAACACCCATAAAACAAAGCGGAGCAAGACAACCGCACTGCACATCCCGCCCTACGGCCCTATGGCGGTGGAACGGCATTGCGATTGTGATCACGCCCATGATTCCAATCACCAAGTCTGACACAAGTTCGTGCACTTCTCGTACGATGGCCGTATGGTGCTGTGCTCGTACGAATACGGTGCACAAGGTGGCTTCTTCCGCCTCTATCGATCGACCCATAACAAATGGCATGGCTCACAGTGCTGTGCTGCGAGGTAAGCCTGCGCAGTGGCACGGCACTCGAGTGCACACGGTATCCATCTCACCACATCTCATCCTATCGCACCCTGCGGTGCAGTACTCGTACCCAAGTCTACCGGTAACAACAAACAAACAAGAACCCGACTGGGCAGGTACTATACCGTACTGTACCCGCACTCGAGTCCACCACGATCCCATCTCGTGATTCTCATCTCCATCCCATCCCATCCCCTCCCACTCACCCACCACTTAAAACTCCAGCCCGCGAAAGAAGGAATTAAAAATAAAAATAAGCACATCATAGACCAGGCACCGCTCGAAATCCCAAGCTTACTCCCCCCCCATCTCCCGGCTACCCCAACCGTACCACAACTCCAGATACTCGTACCGTGGACAAAGACTGCCGTACCGTACCGTACCGTACCGTGATAACCCCACCCGCACAATAATCCTCGCCGACCAATACCGGCATCACTCTAAAAATATCACCCTAGAGCGAGTTACGGTGCTGAGGATCATATCGGTAGGAGGAGTACTAGTACGGTGCCAAGTACTCGTACTTGAGCAAAGAAAAGTGTGCGCAAAACCCCCCTCCCCCTCCAAACCAAACCGACCAATCACAGCGAAAAGCGAGAGGCGAACCGGTGGAGTCTTGGCGCGCACTCGCACCGCATATGCGAGCCAACCCACACAATCGACGAGGCGCTAGTGCAACTTCGGTAATAAATGTTTTGCCCGTTCGGGGTATTGATTTTGTCCTGCCTGTGTGAGTACTGTAGCGTACCTTGTACTGTAGCACTGGTAAATCACTTGTGCCTGTGTCCTCTGTGAAATACCGGTAAATAGATAAATAAATAAATAAATAGATTGATGAATATTGGATGGTGAGTGATGGTCCATGACTACATTTCCAAAAAAAAAAAAAACTGATTATCGTACGGATGATAGAGTACGGTAGAGTATGACAAAACAACACGGTATGAGGGTTCCTAACCAAAGGCAAACAGGTTGCTGGGAGCGGGGAGCGGGGAGCGGAAAGCTAGTGAGTGAGTGGGTGAGTGATGCACATTGATAAAGTATCGGTACTACGTCCATCGTACCCGCACCCTCCCCAGCACAGTACGGTTCGAAACCACGGTGCTCGGGTACGAGAGAGACAAAAAAAACAACGACAAAAATCAGTACAGTACGTATCATAATCGGGGGGGGGAGTCTGGATCATCGCCATGGTAAGTCGTAAGTATCCAAGATGGCAGGTGTGTAAGGGATACTGGGAACCGAGTGACGTCCCATGAATAGACAGATAAATAAGTGGGCAGATAAGTAAGAAGGATGAATGGGTGAATAGTCCCGCCTATCGCCGTTGCTGCGATCGGTATTCATATACGGTTAGAGTAACCCACGAATATGGCATGGGATTTCTCTCTCTCTTTTTTTTTCTTTTTTTTCTTCTGCTTCTCTTCTACGATTTATCCCTTCCCCTTTGGCGGGATATCCGCTCGCCCACCCGCAGCAGCTACGGTATCGTACGGAGCGCACATGGCCAAAATTTTGTGATGCTATCATACACTTTTTCCACCCGTCGCGGTTCGGTCGGGGAAAAAAAAAGGGGGGGGGGGTCAACCTATCGACCGTCGGATGGCACTGGGTATCATGTCGAGGGGTGTATTCTGCGCCCCCTGGTAATTGGCTGATGGTGGGGATACTACAGTATTCGTTGGCAAACAGTAAAAGGTTAAGGATGGGTCATGAGAAATCACTCGATACTGACACATCTGATGGGGTCCTTGTTGGGAAGGAACCTTTTATGCTATATAACACGATACAGTATCATACCTGCGCGGATGCGTCCTTTCTTGCTTCCGGATCGGTGTTCCCTTTATTGTCACCTTCCTCTCCTTGTGTCGCCATTCCCCCCCTATACGTTGTGGCACCTCCCCGGCGGGGCGGGTAATCAGCTTCTTCAGTCATATCCTCAACGTCCGCAATCACCATCATCGAACCATCTTGCCTGGTCCTTACGTCCAAAAAGTTCTAACAAGAAATGCATCATAGTATAGAGTATAATATAATAGACCGATCGATTACACCTCCCCTATAAAGCGCAACTCACCTCCCCTCCCATTGCACTTTTGAATATTCACACGGAATCGAATTAATTGTACACATCGTTTTATTTCCCATCCTTCTCTTTCTTCTGATTCTCTACTTCCTCCTCCTCCTTTGGCCCCTCCTTAATGATCGCCCCATCCTTGTCTCTTGGCAGGCGCTTCCAGCCCGTTTCGAGGAGAGGGCCCATCTCGAATTTGGGGAATGGGTGAGCTTCTGTATTGAAAACTACCTCGTCAAGAGGGAGGATATCGTTCGGGGAGAAGAGTAGGTAGAGGTATTTCAGGGTTTCGGCCTGGAGGGTTAGCTGGTTGATTTATGATTGGGTGGGGCGAGGGTGACTTACTAGCCAGAAGCTCTCCATGTTATTGCGCTGTTTAGGCGGTATCTCATTGACATTATCAAGACTGGTAAAGCCATCCTTTGCATCTTCGCCGACGGCAGTGTGCTCAAGAAAGGCCTCAAAGATCTTCCATCCCCACTCACGGTATATCTCATCACCCGTAATCCTCCACATGACGAATAAGCTCTCAACCGTCTCCGGTCTCTGGAGGTTATGTGCATCGCGGGGCTTGACAATGATGTCTTTGCTGGGATCCTCTTCGATAAATTCTCCGTCATCGCTCTTGCCATGCTTTAGGTTAAACCATGCAATCTCCGGAGCAAGCTTTGTGGCCGTAGTGTTGTACATCTCGTAGCAGGTGCGCATGAGTTCACGGGCAAGTTTGAGGTCTTCCTCTTGTCGGATGCCCCACTTTACCCCCTTTTCTGCCTTGCGGGCCTCTTCGACTGTAAGGCCTTCAGTTGCGCCGAGAGCAAAGAGACCTGGCATGAAACAGACTAGATGATCCATTTTGGGAGACAAATCACCACCAATGCCATTTGGAAGCTCGGCGATAAATGTAAGATGTGATGGATGGGATTTAGCGATGAGATGCTTCTTAACACCTGACATAGCAGCATTGTACATATCTAAGTAGACAGGCTCCTGATTTTCAGTCTGGAGATATTGCTTGATTAGGTATTCTGGGATGTTGGTCAGCGCTAGACAAAATGCCCAAATAGGGGGACGCATACCGTAATAACTATCACCCCGCGATCCTAATCTAATTTCGCGTCCACGAAAAATGCCGGAATCGGCATAAACAAAGATTGGGACAAGGCCATCCTCAGCCCCGTTGTTATCGAGGACTTCGATGACCTTCTCCGCCTTTTTCCAATATATGGTTTCGCCAATCAGCTTTGAGAGATATTTCATCTCTAGCTGTAGCGTTGCGGCTTCCGCTGTTGATGATGCACCCCCGTCCACGTGTGAGGGTACTCCCTCGCGGGACTTCAGGTTAACGCTCGCGAAGGGGACCCCTGAAGGAGAATCGTAGGCGCCAAGCAACCTGTCCGCAAGGTCTGTAGCTTTGTTGAGGTACATATCTTCGGCAGCCTTCTTCACAGGAACAAGTTTCAAATCTTGGGAGAGGTAGTGTGCGGATAACAGACCGCCCAGCATTCGAATAGTGGTCTCGAACGTGTTCACTTCGCTGTCCTGCTCAAAGGTAAGTGAGTGTTCCACCCAATGTTGAGCTTTTTCTAATGGCTTCGTCAAGTTCATGATCATCATAGTGTCCAGTGCGTCGACGATAATCCAGCCCATGCCCTTCGGGATCATCTGACCTCCAGCTTTGGTGACAGGAAAGAACTGATCGTGGCCTAATCTCCGTTAGACTGGCTTGCTCACCCACACACTGGGTATGGCTAGAAGCTCAAGCAGAAAAGCAATTTTATCGGCTCCCGCATAGAGATAGGTAAATTCTAAGGGTGACCGGGGAGGGAGGAGTATTGGTATTACCCCAAGCGTGCTTTTCATAAGCATTCCAGCTCAACATAAAAGCTTCCTTAACCTTCTCCCTCCTATCCTCCCAGTTCACAATTTCCTCGGTTTTCTTCTTAATCGGCAGGATGCTTGTGCCAGCACCGGAGAAATATCCAAACCAATAGAACAGTCCAAACACGGCTATGAGACCCCCTAAGAATCGTTTTCGTCGATACATCTTTCTCTGATTTCGTCCCGATCTTTGGTAATAAGGTTTGTCCTTGTATAATGGTAGATCTCGATTGGCTCCGAACAGGCCACCAACAGCTCCCTCTGCAATATTTCCGATAGTCACCGGTCGTTTTGGCGTGCGAGGTGATAAACCGGATTTCGAAGCCGCCCAACCCACATCCTCGAATTCACGGTTTGGGCTCGTGAATGAAGGGACGTTCTTCGGAATAGAAAACGACATCGATTCGAGTGTTTCGACTGCCGAGTCAATAGCTGGGCCTGCGGCCTTCTGGACCTCTGTTTGGATGGTTTGCAATAGGGGCGAACGCAAGATCTGAAGTGGGGTTTTGTTGCGCAAGCTGAACGGATCACGAATGGAGTTCATTCGGACATCATAAGACCGATTGCACTGGATGGAAACCCTAGAAAAAAGCAGGGGTAGGAGGTGGTTTACCTCGGAACAATAGTGCCCCAGCGCCAAATTCCACACCTAAGCTAACATTTAGGTGGTCTCAACCGTCTGCACGTGACGTCAGGGTAACCATTGGGTCGGAGATGGCTCTGACCAGAAGACCCAACCAACTACCGACTACTTTCTTCGATTGAGCCGACAACATGGTGAATCTTTACGGTGTCCAGATTGCTGAGAGTCAGCTCGTCCATGTCTGTGACTTTCTTCCACCTTTGATTGGGTCTTGTTGCTAACCTTCGGTAGAAAGCCTTGAGATCATTTTTTGGCATCGGTCACAACGTCGCCGACCGAATCTGCGCAAAGTTTTCGATCCACAAAACTGCCCGAATATCCCAATTGACACAGCCGAAGGTCACAGCGATAACATCAGAAATGACCAAAATGGTTATAGACACGGAGCTAAAAAGGAAGATAGCAGACAATGTGATACGACTGAAGGATATTGGGACGCATAGAGGGAAACGGCACGCTCTGGTATGGGTTATCCGGCCTCTGGGGTTGGTGGGAGGGTTGGCTAACGAATTGTTGGAAAATAGGGACTTCCGGTCCGAGGACAGAAGACGAAGAAGCAAATTGTCAACTCGCGAAGGTTTAACAGACTACAAACTAATATATGATAAAGCGGAGGTGGTGGCCATATTTATGGTGGGGTGATGTGATATGTGTGGAGGCCGCGGGGATGTAATACCGGTATGATATATGTAAACATGGCGTCCACGTGTCCATAGAGCCGGCGTACTTGGGTAGATCCAGCTGAAAGAGAATCTGTAGTTTTAAGCATGATTCTCAGAGCGGGAAGGTTGAAGAGGAGAAAGAGGATGGGAGACGTGCCAATCACACTGTGACTGATATGCCTGAACAGCTTTGTGCATGAATGTCTGTTGCTGATAGGTGTGTGCGCCTAAGAACAGCCTCGCGAGTCCCGCAAATCCGGCCCAGACTCGATCAGAAAGTGGAAGCTATTACCAGCAAAGATAAGTCCGCTATGGGGAGGCCTATGGGGCACGAATGTGCTGGTTGTGAGATTGTGATGAACCAGTGGTCTGGCTTTTTCTTGGGGCAAGGTATAATATGGTATGATATGGATATCTGCAACGATCTGGATAACATCGAAACACTTTTTTTAAGCCGCATCCATTTCGATCCTCGATACTATGATAAATTTACCCATCTATCGCCAAGCTTGACTCCCAGATTCCATGTGTCGCAACGCATCCACCACCGCAGCCCGTCTCCTCCTTCCGCCATCATGAATCAAGATTCAAATACGAGCCTCTCACCCGTACCGCTACCCGTACAGGCCAACTGTTCACTTCGCCTCTGACGCCTCTCCTCCAAATCCCATCTAATCGACCAGTTTGCACAGGCTCTTGGAACTGCATCTGCAACGGTTCACCGCTCATCACCTCCCTACCCTCATCCTTTTGACATTCGCAGCCGTCATTATTCCCAAACTTTGATCAACAACATGTGGATTCTTCCGTTATTGGGCTACGCTGGTGTCATATTCGGCTTTTCTTTCCTGACGCTAGCTATCGGTAATCATCTCCGCCACCCGCGATTCACGATACCGCTATCTGTACTGACCTTCACATCAGCTTCCGGGCTCTACTATCTCTCGGAGCTGGTGGAGGAACATACTGTCATCTCGCAAAAGCTATTAATACGGCTTATTCAAGTTATAATAGCGGCTCATATTCTATTGATTATATTCGATGGATTCCCCATAATGTTGACGCTCTTTTCTGCATCCAGTCATGGCGTGTACCTGATGAACGTTACGAGGACATTCCCGATGGGTATGTATAGTACCGGTAATCACGTACTCGTGAGTGGCTATTGGAATCTAACTACTTTTCTTGCTCGCAGTCAAACTTACGGATGGTGTCTTCATTCTGTCTTGCTGTATTAACCCCTGTTTATCCCGGGTCTGCCCTACAACTAACAGCTCATAGGTCTTGTGGTTGGAAACCATTTCCTTTGGTTCAATCATTTCTCTAACCCGGTACTACCATCCGATCATCCCTTTAATCAACACCCAAACGGTCCGAGCAGAAATCTTTACGACTACTCATCGTCGGTCGACCCCAGTTTCCCCAGCCGTTTCCCCACGTTCACCGAGATTAGTGCTTTCTTTGGTATCTGCGTGTGGCTTGTGCCCTTCTCTCTGTTTGTGTCCTTGAGTGCTGGAGAGAATGTACTGCCTAGCACTTCTGCTACGATGGGCAGTAGTTCAGCTAGTAAGAAGAAGGGGTCAGGGAAAGGGATGGCGAAAATGGTTTTCGGGGGAGCAAAGGAATGGCTGGGGAGCACCGGGGAAGTATTGGGTATTATGAGCCCTGAAGGCAGGGGACATGCGAGGTTTGAGTGATCAGTTGGAGGAAGGATGTAAAACTTGGATGTGTAATTCGACCTGGGCCCGGAGTTACTAGGAGCGTTGCGTTTTTTTTCCCCACAGGTTGTGTGGTGATTTATCCACTTTGTTTGGCCGCATAATATGTGAGGAGTGGAGTTGCTTAGAAATTTGTTTATATATGGCAAGGCGTACATTTGGATTGGGGAACGGAGAGGGGGAACACTGGGTTGAGATTTTGGGGCCGGAGCATATCCGAGCTACTACTTGTGAATCGTAAAGAGCCCGAGTCCCAGGCCGGATGCCTGAGATTTTTTGGGGAATCCCCTCATTAAATCGGCTGCTGGCTTCGCCGGTCCCTGTCACCACCGATATTATCGGTCGGATTTTCTGTAAGAGGATATCGTTTGGTTAAAGTGACATCACGTGATCCAGGGCTCGACTTTTATCGATAACAAACCACTCCGCGCCTGGATATTAACCCCCTTCCCCCACCAAAATCTTACCAAACCACTCCTCCGGTCCCGCATTGTCTCTACTGCCAAAATGGAATCAGAGATTTCCGCTGTCCTTCCCTCCATTGACCCGACCATCACTGACTACTCTGTTGGATTTCTCACCCATGCCTCTACGTCCACCTCTCCCGAGGCGGATATCGAATTCGCTGAAGCCATTAGTGCCGTAACCTCCATACTTCTTGACGCGGCGCCACCATCCGTTTCCGAGGATTCTATCACGGCCCTAATAGATAAGCTCGTCGCTCAGCTCAATGCTGCCCACGGCGAGAATCGAAAAGCCTTTTCTGGCCGGGCCAAAAAGCTCGATCAAACAATCCACATGGCCTCCCAGAAGAACATCTCCTCTACAATGGGTTTAGTAGGTGGCTCCGTCGATATCGACGCAGTGGGGACGAGAAAAGTTGAGAGTAAGGTGGACAAGAAGAAGCTCGAGAAGGCGGAGCGGAAGATCAAGGCGAAGCAGGATAAGAAAGTGATGAAGAACGTGACTTATGAGGCATCAAAATTAATTGCTACCGATGAGCAACAGTCTTACGACGACTTCTACATGGCCGTCAATCCACTTCAGCTCGGGCAGAGTTCGCAGGGCAAGAGCAAGGACATCAAGATTGACAATGTGGACGTCCAGATCGGTGGGAAGAGGATTTTGTCGGATACTACACTTACATTGGCCTATGGGAGGCGATATGGTCTTGTTGGGCAGAACGGTATTGGTAAATCTACGTTGCTTAGAGCGCTGTCGAGGCGTGAAGTGGCTATCCCTACACATATTACCATTTTACACGTAGAGCAAGAGGTTAGTTTGTATCAAAAGATATTGCTCAAGGGTTTGGTGTGTTAACTTTTCCTTCCCCGAAAGATCATGGGTGATGACACTCCGGCACTTCAAGCCGTGCTCGACGCCGACGTGTGGCGAAAACATCTCCTTGCAGAGCAAGACCGTATCACAAGTGAACTTAAGATGCTCGAGAGCAAGCCCGACCCGATCACCATCACCGCAAGCCAGGGATTCCCGAACGAAGAGCGCGACGAACTGGACTCTCTTCTGTCGGAAGTCCACGCCAAACTCGCCGAGATTGAATCTGACAAGGCGGAGCCCAGGGCGGCATCCATTTTAGCAGGGTTAGGGTTTTCGGCGGAACGACAGCAGGACCCTACCAGAACCTTCTCCGGAGGTTGGAGGATGAGGTTGGCATTGGCCCGTGCCCTCTTCTGTAAGCCGGATCTTCTGCTTCTGGATGAGCCGTCGAACATGTTGGACGTTCCGTCGATCACCTTCTTGTCCGAATATCTGCAGGATTATGCCTCCACAATCCTGGTCGTGTCTCACGACAGGGCCTTCCTGAATGAGGTTGCGACTGACATCATCCATCAGCACTCTGAGCGTCTTGATTACTACAAGGGTGGCAACTTTGACTCGTTCTATGCTACCAAGGAGGAGCGACGAAAGACTGCTAAGAGGGAGTATGAGAACCAGATGGCGTACAGGAGGCATCTGCAGTCCTTTATCGACAAGTTCCGATATAATGCGGCCAAGAGCAGTGAAGCCCAGAGTAGGATTAAGAAATTGGAAAAGCTGCCGGTTTTGGAGCCCCCCGAGGATGAGTATAGCGTTGTGTTCAAGTTCCCGGACGTGGAGAAGTTGAGTCCCCCCATCATCCAGATGCAGAATGTATCGTTTTCGTATACACCTGGGAAGCCTATTGTCGAGAAGGTGGATCTGGATGTTCAGTTAGATTCGCGAATTGGTATTGTGGGGCCTAATGTGGGTGCTGGGAGATCGATCTGCAGTGGTGGAGCTGTATGGTGCTGACATAAATGTAGGGTGCTGGTAAAACTACCGTTTTGAAACTGCTCATTGGGCAGCTTGTCCCATCAAGCGGGCTGTAGGGCAACTATTCACCCTAAATTTGCACAGGAAAAAGAATGGCCTAACGATACCCCTAGCATCACCCAGAACCCCCGTCTCCGAATCGGCTTCTTCGCCCAGCACCACGTCGATGCCCTCGACCTGAACACCAGCGCGGTAGCCTTCTGCGCAAAGTTGTTCCCGGGAAAAACTGACGAAGAGTACCGCCGCCACCTCGGCGCCTTCGGCATAACCGGGACAACAGGCCTCCAAAAGATGGGCCTCCTCTCCGGAGGTCAAAAGTCCCGTGTGGCATTCGCCTGCCTCTCTCTGACAAACCCGCACATCCTCGTCCTCGACGAGCCCTCCAACCACTTGGACGTGGAAGCCATGGACGCGCTCTCCGATGCGCTGGGAAATTTCCACGGAGGCGTGCTCATGGTCTCGCACGATGTCACGATGCTCGCTAACGTGTGCACGCACTTGTGGGTGTGCGACAATGGGAGCGTGGAGAGCTTTCCGGGGGATATCAAGGCTTATAAGAAGAGGATCATTGAACAGGCTAATGCTGCGGGGGTGGTTAAGCATCATTAAGTTACTGGGGGTGGTGGATTGCAGGCAGTCTAGAGGGCCGAGGTGCCCATCACAATCTTGTACGAGTACGGTACTTGATCTCACACAATGACGCATGGGGAGCCTTATGAAGAAGCCGTGTAGTTCTCACACCATAGCGTAATCCCATCCAGTCTTTGTCCCACCCGTAGGAAATACCAGAATCTCAATAATATTTTATCTTCATTCCCTCCCGTATCATCCTAACCTGACCTTCCTTCCAAGCCACAGCGCCGCGCCCCGCCGCACGATACCGGCGCGGCTGCTGCGGCCCAAACCGAGAAGCAAGACTAAGACAAATCCCAACCCAATAGCCTCCCGGTAAATGCAGGGTTCCCCCAGAATTGCGGGCAAGTTTGGCACGTTTCTGGCAAGGGTCGCAAATAGCGTAGCGCAACACAATAATAAATCGGTTATCGTACGGTACAGTGTACGAGTACTGGTAGAGTACTCGAGTACCGGTACCGTAGTTTCGTAGCAAGGCCACACCCCTTTCCCATCGTAGCGTAAAAAAAATGGGGGGGGGGGGGGGAACCGGGGAAAATAGGGTAGGAGAACCCGGGGATGGGGTATCTTCGGAGCTTTCAGGCTATGATAGCGTACGAGCACTCCGGGAGCTCTTCATGCCGAATCACTCGCTACAGGTACAGTACAGTGCTGTACTGCGCTTGGCGGTCTCGGGTATTTGTCGTTCGCAATGCAGCAACGTACCGGTACGTTGCATTAGGCAGAATAATAGCCGTTTGCAGATTGTGCATGTAGAGGGGTCGCACTTCGTGCCGTGGCATAACTTGTACCACCTTTTCTTCTGGCGGATCTCGGGCTGTGGATACTCGTACAGTGCTCGAGTACTGTACAGGTATCATACTCTCTGCAATTGCTCGAGTGATGGCGTGATTGAGTCCGTCAAATCCATTAGGTTTCCGGAGGGGAGTGGGTGAGAGAACCGGGTTGCGGTTTTCGTTCCCCTATTTCCTATAGCCCCGTCCTGGAGGAAGATCCTCGGGCAAAGGATGGAGAGGGGGGATTTCGGAGATAGGGATGCTTTGCTCTGATGGGTGAGGTGGACGGCCCTACGATGGCTACTTGTACCGTAGCATGCATGATAAGGTGGTTAGCCGTTGTTTTGACGGATGGATGGGTTGTCGCACTTGGCACGAGTCGCTTGGTGGTCCGCCAACTTTTTTTTTATATGGGGATTTGGAACCGGGGGCTGACTTGTCTTGTCTTGACTTGAACTGGGGTAATTTACGGTACTGGGGTTGGGTTGACTTACCGTGCCGTAGGGTGGTTTGTTTATCATGTCTGTCGTACAGTAGGGTATCGAACTTGTATCGTCTGAGCTCAGTACTCGAGTATTCAACTATACCTGTATTATACTATCATATCGGAGTGGGGATGGAATACCGGTACCGGTACTGCACCGTCGAGTATGATATTCTGGGGAAATTCGCCCCTGCGTTTCGGCATTCCGGCTCTTTCTCATGTGGAGGGTAAATTTATTATGGTTGAAGTGATCTGCTATCTCTTTCGCCCTCACTTTCTCACTCTCTCGCTCTCACTCTCGCTCTCACTCTCACTCTCACTCTCACTGTCTTCCCCTCTCCCTCTCCCTCTCGGGCCGCTTTTTTTTTAATTGTTTCCATCTCTCCCCTCTACATACAGTACTGGCACTCACTGTTGCATGAATTTATTATGATATCCGACCAAACCTTTTGTGCGTCCCCCCCCATTCCTGGTCTGGCCTGGATTTCCACTGTATTCCCACCACCACCACCATCCCCACAATATCTTGGCGGAATACAAGCGGGTTTGTCACTCGCCATCCGCCCGCCCATCCCTCCCTCCCTCCCACCCTCCACTCCCTACACCCATCTAACCCAGACAACATCCAACATCTACCGGCCCAGAACTATCGTATCTCCCATCATCCACGCAACTCCTCAATCTTTCATCAAAAAGTCCTCCTACACTCCTGATCGGTTTTCTAGTTCCACTGCATCCTCCTTCCTCCCTCTTCAACTTTTCTTTTCTTTTCTTTTTTCCACCTGTTCCACCAGATCTCATTCAACGGTATTTAACGGTGTTCTTCTCCCCCCCCGTCGTGTCTAAAAGTGAGAGAGCGAGAGAGAGAGAGAGAGAGAGAGAAACAGAGGCAAAAATAGTTCCCCTGGCACAACTTTCCCTACCGTATTGCCTGCTCATTGCACCACCGCCCCATAATTCCACCACGCTATTGCCTAGAATTCGGACCCCCTCTTCCCACAACACCAGCACGAACCACCTCCTCACCAATTTCACCTATAATATCGAGCTCTCACATACAAGGAAGAAGGAGAAAGTAGAAAACACCTCGCAATAAATTAAAACAGCAATCATGCCGACACCCAATGAGACCCTTACGACCATTCCTGAAAACATCAATGAGCTCACTCGTCCCTCCCGCTTACAGCTCGCCTGTCCACCTGAAGAAGGCCCAACTGTCTCCCGCTCGACTTCCGCTATCCCCGCTCAAAACTGGCGACAACAACCCGCCGCCTCCCCTACTGCTCACCAGCAAGATATCATGTCCCAACCTCAGCTCTCCCCCACCGGCATGTCCGACGATGAAGCGACCACCACTACCACTACTGCCGCCACCACACCCACGAGCGCCGTGGTAATGAAACAGGGAGATATGGAGAGAGATCTACATTCTGAACCTTCGCCCTCTCTTGAGAGGAGGCACATGGATCATCCGCAGGCCGCTGCGCCCCATGGACTTCCCATCACCCCCGAATCCCCTTTTACGCCGTCGCTCTCTTATGAGTTTTCTTCGAAGCGGGTATGTGATTTCTTTTTTACATCTACCGGTATATATCTCTTGCCGGCTATTGTTATTATTATTATTATTATTATTGTTTATATTGTTTTCAAGAAACTACCTTTGTATCACAACTTCTTTGTCATCTTGTTTGTGTATCCTTTTGGGGTTGTCTTCCCGCTTAAAATGAGCAGGTGTTTTTTTTTTTCTTTTCACACCTTTTCTGATCTCCCTCTGCTTTTCCTCAACTACCCTTTTGGATGGGTGGAGATTCTTATATTGGCTGTTGGTCGCTGACTTCCGCATTCTGTGGCGCGCGCTCGGCAGTTGTTACCATCTTCCCCTTGCTCTTTCCTTCGCTCGGGCAGTAAATTTTCTGGCAAACAGACATCTGATAGATCTACCTACGAGGTTCATGTCGAACTTAAGCATGTCGATATGGCCGAGTCTTTTCTCTGTGGTTATCTTCGCATCCAAGGTTTGTCCGATCCTTCCTTCTGATCCTCTGGTTATTTTTGTCCTTCCCGGGGGCTTGCGAGAGATCTGGGGCGATCTCGCACCAGATTTTCCAAATTACTTTTTTTCTTTTGATTTTTTTTCCCTACCCTTCTCCTTCTTTGCCTGTCTTCCCCTGCACCATGCAGCTCTTTACTGTGGTCCAATTGAAGATTGCTTCTATCGCTCTTCTACTTCCCGGCCCTTTTTCCCGCGCCTTGCCTGCATCACCGCTGTGCAATAGCAATTGCTGACATGTCAGCGAATCAAAAAAAAAAGGCCTGACAGAGGACCATCCCACCTTGACGACCTATTTTGAAGGTGAGATGATTGGAGACAAGTATACGTTCCAAACCCGCCGGCCGGAATGGGGATCCAGTGAGAAGAACGATTACCAACACTGGGCACGATTTCCGGCATATCGTCCGTTGGCGAGCAAAGCCAAGCGTGCCGACTTCAACTATAGGGGCTTCGAGCAAAAGGAGCACATTTTCATGCGCTGGAAGGAATATTTTCTAGTTCCCGACCACAGGGTGAAGCAAATCACGGGGGCCAGCTTCGAGGGGTTCTACTACATCTGCTTCAATCAGATCACGGGGAGTGTGTCGGGGATATACTTTCACGCCAAAAGTGAGAAGTTTCAAAAGCTTGAATTGAAACATGTCCAGGACAGGTGTTTCGGGGCTGTTGAGTTTCGGTAAATGGTGGACAGGGGGGAAGATTGAAAAGCGGAACAAGAAAAAAAATCAATCAATCTGGGTGTTTCTTTGTGGAGCTTTTTTTTCCCCCCATTTATTTTCAGGTCATATTATTCATTTCCTTCTCTACTCATTTTTTTCATTTCTCTTTTCTCTTCTGTTCCCTTGATTTGCTTTTTTTGCGTGTCGCTCCCTTCTTTTTTTCCAACCCCAAAGGGCGATGACCCTTCGTGGGTATCATTGGCAGTGTGTTAATCTACCGGACTTTGTGTGGAATAGCGGGCGTGGAGTAAGTGTGGATGGAAACCGGTGCAAAGGGATGGGAGTCTTTTTGGGAAATGTGCATGGTGGAAATGGATTATTTGATCCGGTTTCTGAGGGTTTTCTAGTTTTTCGTGTTCATTTTTTGCAGTGCGTTTTATCTTCGCATTTTCTTTTTTTCTTTTTTTTTCTTTCTAGCTGTTTCTTCTCCCCTTTCCTCCATCTCCATCACACGGGATATTCAGTCGTGTGTTCCTTTCCTCTCCCCCCTTCAACGATTGATGGCGTACTCGACTTTCTTTTGATCCGGGGTTTGTGGCTTTATTTTTTCTTTGATATGGCAATTGTAGCGGTCGTTTTTTTACTCACATGTGCACACAAACACCTCTTTGGAATCGATATATTCCCTTGGGATTTGTATTTTTTTTCTTTTTCCATCGTGAGTTGTACATATCAAAATACCCGTCATCACCACTGCGCCTTGGCTCTCACTATCGTCGAGTTAAGTTGTCGTGTAAAAAGGAGTTGAGTGAGTGAGGGGAAATTGGTAGTGGTATCGTGTACTACCTGTGGATCAGGGGGTCGATGATGATGACGACGACGAATGGCTTCCCTTATCCAACGTACTTTGCCTACTTTTGCGGCCTTATCGTGCGCACTGTTGGGGGATTGGATGAGACTCATGGGAGATGACAACGGCAGTCCAGTGGTCGTCCAACGTTTGTTTTCTATTTGGAATTTCTGCCCACTTCGATAGATGACAAGATGGAAAAGTGGTTAGTAAGAGATTGAGAGGTGAAGAAAAGAGAGTGTGTGAGTATGAAGGACAGAAGACAAGAATTACGGGAATTTTTCTTCTTCTTGTCTTTCCTTTCTTGCAGAGCAGGCTACCGGTAGTCTAGCTCACAGATGAACTGTTGAGGTTAAAGGTTCATCATGGAACAAGGTTGCTTCACCTCCAATTCACCTTCCCCATTATCTTCAACATTACTGTTACCAATAAAGTGCTTTGGTGCCTGTTCTTTAGTTACCTCCAGGGCCCTCCAGTATTAGCAGGGACAGATAGATTTATCTTTTGCCATCGCCTGCCAAAGAATGCCAGGGATCAGGGAATGCCTGACAGTACCGCACAGTACTACACCTTACTCTTCTCAAACCTCTTTTATCGCGTTGAATTGTACTGTACGGGTATCGCAATCATATTGTAATCCCAGGTCACTCGCCATATCACGTGACGGCCAAGCCGTTGAAAGACTTTCTTAATTTTAAGCCTCAAAGGAGAGTCAAAACATGCCCAACGCCCGACGAGTAAAAAGGGACCCCATACCTCCCTCCTTCCGTCCTTCCCCACCACCGCCAATTCAAAGAAAAAGAAGAAGAAAAAGAGAAAGAAGAGAGGAAACCAGGACACAAAATGTCAACCCCACCAATAGCTTCAGTCTCCGCTTCCCCACCGGCAAAGCGTCAAAAGCCGTCCAGCGGCCAACGTACGGGCCACCGGTCCGCCTACCGCTCGGATCCAATGCGCCAGGGACTCCCGCAGAAGAAACACTACCGGCAGCGCGCGCACGCTAACCCGTTCTCGGACCATCAGTTGGTGTACCCTCCATGCCCAGCGGACATGGACTGGGGCAAGCACTTTTCCTCCTCACCCGCCACCCCCGAAGAGAGAAAGGTAGAAGTGGCGGACATCGGCTGCGGCTTTGGCGGGCTAATAATATCCCTGCCAAAAGTCCTCCCGGGAGTGCGCATGCTGGGTATGGAAATAAGGACCCAAGTGACGGAATACGTGGACGAGAGGATCCGCGCACTGCGACACCTAGAGGGCGGGGAAGCGTACGGGGACGTTGGCGTGATAAGGGCGAACGCTATGAAGTTCCTGCCGAATTTTTTCGAGAGGTCTCAATTGCGGAAGGTGTTCTTGTGCTTTCCAGATCCGCATTTCAAAGCTAGGAAGCACAAAGCTAGGATTGTATCGTATGTACTCTTTTCCCTGCTCCCGCGGTCGAGGGGTTGTGTGATTGATATGTGCTAGGCCTACGTTGGCGAGCGAGTATGCCTACGTACTTGCGCCCGCTGGCGTCTTGTATACCATCACTGACGTGGAGGATTTGCACCTCTGGATGGCGAAGCATCTTGATGAGCATCCGTTGTTTGAGAGGTTGACTGGGGAGGAGATTGAAAGCGATATGTGCGTTGCCGTGATGAGGAATGACACTGAGGAGGGGAAGAAGGTTGAGAGGAATGGGGGGAGGAAATTTGTGGCGTGTTGGAAGAGGCGGGTGGATCCGGAGTGGGTGGAGTAGGCGGTTCCCGCAGATTTTTATATATTATAGAGGGGGTAGAAGTGTCGACGGCGCGGGGCACAGTACGATGGATGGATGGATCAGTGGTGCACTATGATTGTGCGAGGCTGCGCCTGAATATATAACATCGTGCATATCCCCTCGGACTTGATTCTCCACTATAGTACCGTACCACCTGCACCTTCCCACACCCTTTCCACACCGCACTACCCCCGGGGAACCCGATGCGAAAAAAACAAGCCAATCCGAGCCAAGCAAACTAAAACAAACACCCTCAGACGCGCATACCCACCCTGCTCCGAAACGCCCAAATCACACTCTGTCACTCGCAACCGCAATCCACGGCCCACCCCCCCCCAAACCTAGTGACGCAACTCCACCCCATACCAACCCCAACCAACCAACCCATTCCCCCGGGCATAGCAAATGAAAAGGAGGAACCCCAAACAAATCAGAGCTGGAAAGGGGCGCGCATGGTGCACACATTACGTGTGCGAAATCTGAAAAACACGATACCACTCCCTTGTGACTCACTTATAGGTTTCACATCTTGGAGAATCTGTTGGCGGCTTTTGCGGGTGGAGAGGTACCTGATAGGATTTTATTTTATTTTTAGCCACAGTTGGTGGAAGGGAGGGTGTTCTGATGGGGGTTTTTTTTGATTGCATGGGTGGAGGAGGAGAAGGAGGTGGTGGGTATCGTATCATTCCGAAGGTGGGAAGCGTGGGTGTTTGTGTACGATGCTGGTGCAGTGGATATGCGGAGGTCATTCCTCTCCTTTTGCCTGGGTGGTGGTGGTTTTGGGTGCTGTGCTTCTGGTGGCCTACTGTGCTGTACGAGTACTGTAGCGTTCGTGCTACGGTACTCGAGTAGAGTCGGTGTTAGGTTGGGTTTATGGTCGGCATTGTGCATGCATATCGTACTGTGCATGTAGATATGATCGTCCACCGGAATACTCGCATAAGTTCATACCGACCTCGCATTTACAATGTACCACCCACCACCCCTCACCACCCCCTCGCGACAGACCAGCTCCCTAACACACACAATAAGTAGTTATTGCGCAATAACGCAGCGAATTCTCACCGGTGAGTGTGCGGAGTGGGTAAATAAATGGGAAAAAATAAAACAAAAAAATGTCTTCCCCGGGAAGGCTTGAACTTCCAACCTCTCGATTAACAGTCGAACGCGCTAACCAATTGCGCCACGGAGAACTCATGCTTGGTATGGGAAGTAGTGATAATCAATCGAGAGGAATATTTCGTGGGATTTGCAATACCGTAAGAACTCGAATAAACGAGCCTTGTGCTAGGACGTTGGACTTGCCTCTCCTAGTAAGGTCTGGTGTTTTTTTCTTTTTTATTTGTCTCGG